CCTCATACACATACACACAAGTGAGGGGATAACAGAAAAAAAAACTTATCAAGCCATAGAGAACAAAGAACTGGGAGGTTTAGAACAAAGACCCTCAGTAAGCCACCCTAGCTAGAGAATCTTTACCAAGGCCTCCTCTGCAAGTCAAGTCTGGTGTTCTGAGCCAAAAGCATCTCAGTACATCGGATTTCTAATTAGTTGTAACACTTAACTATTTAGGAAATTTTATCTCTTGCTGGTATTCAAATTATTTCGAGAATACTGTTTACTGTGAGTCCTAGTTTAAAGATATGAGAAGGCTATATGAAAAATGAAAATGTGGCTAGGTCCTACTGCCCATGAGTCCCTGGATCAGGGACGGACAGTTTGCATTTCGTTTATCTACACTCATTGTGTCTGGAAGAGAGAAAGGATCGCCGACTATATGACTGATACTCCAAATAGAGGGTTTGCCTCCACACCTCATCTGCAGGTCAGGCAGAGTAAGATTTAGGTGAGCTCATTAGTCCTAGACATAAGCTCTGAAGTTGTAGGATCAAGAGATCACCCAAAGAGGCTGACTTCCACTTCTAGATCTGCTCCTAATTTGCAGTGCAACCAAAGGCAAACCCTTGCTGTGTCTTGTTTTCCCTTTCTGAGCTCTCAGATGAGAATGATGATATGTGCCCTACCTACCTTTCTGGCATTTAGGAAGAGGAGACAATAAATGTGAAAATGCATTAAACTGAATTAAAAGTTATCCAAATGTAAGAGTGAGTCAGTGAATCGTGTTCCAGCATTCTTCAATGTTCTAATTAGGAAAAAAATGAGCAATGAGACAGCTTTCAAACATATTTGTCACAGATTTAAAAAGTATCCACTCATTTTGTGGCTGAGTCACTCTTCCAACCTCTGTTGTATGCAAGTTAGATCATTTTAAAAGAGCTGGGAAAACCCTCTGTTCCACAAGCTGAAAAGACTTCCAAGCTCCTATAACTTGGCAGACAGGCTTCGGATTGTGGCTGTCCCATGTGGCTGGTAGAGTGGGCTGAGGAGGAGTCAAAGGAGAAAAGCTGTTGTCCCTTTGGAAAAGATTTTGTAGACTCAGAGTAGTATCTATTATACATAACTAGTGAACCAGTGTAATTAAGGAAAACCTCACATTTTTGTCTGTCCCTCTTGCTGTAAGCATATTTGTTCTCTGAGTTCATGCCCATGGATAGTAAGCATCATTTGGATAATTCGATACTTGGAAGTATTTCATGACACAGAGATTTGTGAAATAATTCTTCTCCACAAAACCCCAAGTGAAATCTTATGCAGATAAAATAATTCAAACAATGACCTATGCTGCGACAAAAACCATCACGCCCACACTGGAAACTATTCCAGCTGTTTCTCTTGGTCTGAATTGGCTCCAGGTTGACAGAGCCTAAGATAAAATGGCAATGCTGGAAATACTTACTGGTCTAGGCCCTTGGTCTGCTATTTCAGGGATCTTTACCAACTTAGGAGAAGTGTCCCTTTTTCTAACCTCTATCAATACTGGAACAGCTTTTTTTTTTTGAGACGGAGTCTTGCTCTTTTGCCCAGGTTGAGGTGCAGCGGTGCAATCTCGGCTCACTGCAACCTCCGCCTCCTGGGTTCAAGTGACTCTTCTGCCTCAGCCTCCCCAGTAGCTGGGACTACAGGCGTGTGCTACCATGCCCAGCTAATTTTTGTATTTTTAGTAGGGGTTTCAACATATTGGGCAGGCTGCTCTCGAACTCCTTATCTCGTACTCCGCCCTCCTAGGCCTCCTAAAGTGCTGGGATTACAGGCCTGAGCCACCTCACTGGCCTGCTCTTATCTTTTGCTATGAATACATTCGGGGTCAGAAGTCTTTTCCTTTGTATTAAAATTTCAGTCTAAGTATGGAAGTGAAAGGCCTTTTTTGCTGTTAAGTTCAGTCATCAGAAAACAGGTGGGGGCATAATCGGTTCCTCTTGAACCTCACCATTCCTGCTATGGGGACCAGCCCCGAGAGGCAACAACATTTAGACATTTAGGAGACTTCAGGGTCTCTTGTTATTTGGGATACAAAGGCAGAGAGGAGGGGCTCTCTTGCCTTCCTCCAGGGTCTGCTGCCTTATCTGGTTGCCAAGGAGTCTGCATCCCACGTCCTTCGAGCTCTTCTAGGCCTTCCTAGCTCATCTCTAGTCTCTATTTCCTTTTCTCCAAGCTTCCCTCAAGGGCCTCAGAGCCCATCCCCATTGTGCTTCTCCCTCCCCAGGGCCACGTGGTTGGCTTCAGCCTCCCCACTCCCCACCCACCCACCCAAACTTCTTTATGGAGATCATAGGGCTGTTACCCAGCAGCGATATTATCCACAGACACAGGGGCCAGAGCTCCCACAGCTTTAGGCCTTCTAGCACCTACATGCCAAACTGAAGAGCAGCAAGAGGAACACTTTACAGTGCAAGGCACAGTCAGGTCTCAGGTGAGACTGATTGCAAGAAATTCGGCCTCACACTGGGAGATTGGGAATGGAAGCCAGGTCATCAGCAGGCGTCAGGCTGCGGCTGTGCACACACGTGCGCGGGTGTGAGCAGGAGTTCACCCGAGGGCAACAGGGCACCAGCACGCTGTTGGCAATAACTCTAGATCTCGGAATACCTAACAGAGACAAAAGAAAAACCTAAAAGCTTCTTTATGGCTAGAAAAACACTTTCCAGGCTGGGCGCGGTGGCTTAAGCCTGTAATCCCAGCACTTTGGGAGGCCGAGGCGGGTAGATCATGAGGTCAAGAGATGGAGACCATCCTGGTCAACACGGTGAAACCCCGTCTCTACTAAAAATACAAAAAATTAGCTGGGCATGGTGGCACATGCCTGTAATCCCGGCTACCCCGGAGGCTGAGGCAGGAGAATTGCCTGAACCCAGGAGGCGGAGGTTGCAGTGAGCCGAGATCGCCCCATTGCACTCCAGCCTGGGTAACAAGAGCGAAACTCTATCTCAAAAAAAAAAAGAAAAGAAAAACACTTTCCATTACACTGTTTACAGTCTTCCCCCACTCACCACCTATTCTATTAAATATAAAATATATTCGAATTTGCTTATCAGAAATAATGTTTGATAATTTGATCAGCTTTCTTAGTGTGCTGCACATATATAGGGTCTCCCCACGGGCTAATGATTATTTGCTGATAATCTCCTTATCTCTACCCACCTTTAGATCCACAGCTGCCTGCTGGCAGCCTCCCCTCTGACGTCTCCATGATCCTGTTTCTGTTTCAGAGGCGGTACCAGCTCTCATCCAGCCGCCCCAGTTAGAGACATAGATGTGAACCGGATGCGGTGGCTCAAGCCTATAATCCCAGCACCTTGGGAGGCTGAAGCAGGTGGATCACAAGGTCAAGAAATCAAGACCATCCTGGTCAACATGGTGAAACCCTGTCTCTACTAAAAATACAAAAATTAGCTGGGCATGGTGGCACGCGCCTGTAATCTCAGCTACTCAGGAGGCTGAGGCAGGAGAATTGCTTGAACCCAGGAGGCGAAGGTTGCGGTGACCCGAGATCGTGCCATTGCACTCCAACCTGGGTGACAAGAGCGAAACTCCGTCTCAAAAAAAAAAAAAAAAGAGACGTAGGTGTGGGTCTACACTCATGTCTGTGCCCTTCCTGCCCTTCCCTCTCCAAAAACAAGGGCAGTTCGGCCTCCCTGCATCTCTGCATCCCAGCTTCATGCTGACTTCAGACCACCACTGTCTCTACCCTGTGTCATTGGAATGCTCGCCAAACAAATGTCTGAGCCCAGTCTTGCCGCAGCTGGAGACAGAGAACAAGCTTTCTAAAGTGCACATCCCACCATACCGCCCTTTGACTTGTAATTTTTGAATAGTTACCCCATTGTTGATAGGATACAGATCAGATTCCCTTTGCGGTCAAATCCCTACTATTTCTCTCAAAATAATCTGCTATTTCACGCATTGAGAGTAACTCACAATGGTCTCTGATGATCCCTTGTTTAATTTTACTCTTTCTTTTTCTTGGGCCACACGCACTGCTGAAAATTAGAGGGCTGGTTCCAGTTCAAAGCCTTCAGCTGGGCTGAGCTCCATCTGCAGTCTATTAGCCCTTCTGATCGCATTTTGTTATTCTCCTTGCACCAGAAAAAACAAACAGATGCCTCTCCCACAGTCTATGCCTTCCCCTCAGTGTCAGAGGTTGGCTCCCAGCTGACCCCCTAGGACCTCCTCGGCAGTGGCCTTACCCTCTCAGTTGTCCTGTCTCAACACTGCTCGTGATTTCTGGCCATTTCTTCCTTTTTTTTTTTTCTTTTTTAAAATTTTTGAGACAAGGTCTCACTGTGTTGCCCAGACTGACCTCGAACCCCTGGGCTCAAGCACTCCTCAAGCGTCAGCCTCCTGAGTAGCTGAAAATACTTGCTCTGCCCCACCATGCCCAGCTTACCAGCTGTTTCCCTCTGATAAACCACCCCGGTGCCTGTCTGCCTTCTCTGTTCTGGTGATGATCTTTTAAGGTCCTAGATCCAGCACTTCATACTGGATGCTGCTGCCCAGCTCTTCCCCATGTTCGCTTCTGCCCACAGCTTCCATGACCTTCAGTATGGAACACCTCAGTATTGTGGGGACCACCTCAGCATGGGGGGCAACTCTCTGCAAACTTCCTGCCTCTGTAGGAGATACAGTGGCACACTCAGGTGTGACTTGGGGGCTTAGCCCACCTCTACATAATCCACATCAGCCTCTTACCCGAGCCACCCCTAGTAAACATATATCCTAAGTGAAAGTCATGTGCTTACAGTGGAAACACAGCTCCTCCTCCAACCAGACCACCATCCTTAAGCTTCTGAGTGTAAATATTACTTTATTTTTGGTGTAGGCATTTTAATCTTGCTGCGCATATGTATTTTCTAAATATTCTACAATTTGTACATGTTCCATTTCAAATAAAACAGAATAAGTGATTTTAAAATTTAAAGAGGTAAAAGAAACTATAAGAAAACAGAAGCTTTTTTTTTTGGTTTGAAAATTATTTATTGAATCTCTCCATACACAGGCAAAAATAAGTGTGCCACTTAACATACTGGAACTTGCCTAACTTAATCATTGCCTAGAGAAGGGAAGATTATCCCCAAAACGTGCTTAACCAGGAGGCCAATGCATCTGTCGACCTCCAAGAACATGGAGATGAACGTGATAGACAGACTGTCCACCATCTGAACCTTCATTCACTACCATTCGGTAACCCTTATTCAGGCCCAGATCTGCAGCACATTTCTTGCCAACAATCATTAAGTGTCCAAGAAGACTTTCATCATCATCTTCTGCTGCAGAAATCTGGGATATATGTTTCTTGGGTATCACCAGAAAATGTGTTGGTGCTTGAGGAGAAATGTCGTGGAAAGCAAGGCACCGGTCATCCTCAAAAATGATTTTGGCTGGGATTTCCTTGCGGATGATCTTCCCGAAGATCGTGTCGCCACCAGGCCGAGCGACCTGAGCCTTGGCGATCTCATCTGCCATCTCTGCCTCTCTCCCGCGGTGCGGCCAAGGGAGAGGCTCAGAAGGAGGGAGGAACCAGCTCAGAAAACAGAAGCTTTAAATGAGGTGGTTTCAGCTGGGCACGGTGGCTTACACCTATAATCCCAGCACTCTGGGAGATAGAGGTGAGAAGGTAATTTGTGGTCAGGAGTTGGAGACCCGCTTGGCCAAGATGGCAAAACCCTGTCTCTACTAAAAATACAAAAGTTAGCCAGGCATGGTGGTGGGCACCTGTAATCTCAGCTACTTGGGAGGCTGAGACAGGAGAATCGCTTGAACCTGGAGGGGCAGAGGTTGCAGTGAGCTGAGATCGCCCCACTGCACTCCAGCCTGGGTGACAGAGTGAGACTCCATCTCAAAAAAAAAAAAAAAAAAAAAGAGGTGGTTTCAAAAGAAGATATTGATTTTATAAAATAGTTAACAATTAAATACATGCCAGAGTACTGCACAAACCTTTGGAGAACAGAAGACATGTAAAAGTAGTTCCAGTCTTCAACACCAAATAAGTTAATTAAGTCTGAGCATTGCTTCATATGTTCGTTGGCCATTTGTATATTTTCTTGTTTTTTTTTTTTTTTGTTTCAGCTTTTAGGTTCCATGGTACGTGTGCAGGAAACATAGTTTTGTTACATAGGTAAATGTGTGCCATGTGGCTTGTCGCACAGATCAACCTATCACCTAGGTATTAAGCCCAGCATCTATTAGCAGTTCTTGATGCTCTCCCAGCCCCGACTGAGAGGCCTCAGTATGTGTTTCCCCGACATGTGTCCATGTGTTCTCATTGTTTAGCCTCCACTTATAAGTGAAAACGTGGTGTTTGGTTTTCTGTTCCTGCATAAGTTTCCTGAGGATAATGGCTTCCACCTCCATCCAGGTTCCTGCAAAGGACATGATCTAGTTCCTTTTTATGGCTGCATAGTATTCCATGGTTTATATGGACGCATTTTCCTTATCCAGTCTGTCATTGATGGGCATTTGGGTTGATTCCACATCTTTGTTACTGTGAATAATGCTGCAGTGAACACATGCTGGAATGTATCTTTGTAACAGAATGATTTATATTCCTTTTGGTATATATCCAATAATGGGATTGCTGGGTCAAATGGTATGTCTGCTTCTCGGTCTCTAAGGAGCCACTACACTATCTTGCACAATAGTTGAAATGATTTCTAAGGGTAAATTTTAAATTTCAAAAAGTGACTAAGTTAGAATGTTGTTTGAATTTCAACATTTGGCATTCCTGGAAGAACTTCTTCCTAATCTCTGGGGTTCCCTGGAGGAGGCAAAATAATTTAGCAATACCCCTAGCTGAGCCACTTGTAGCTGCATCTCAATTCCTTTACGTTGTGTGGAGTTTGGCCTTAGACCCACGGATTCCAGTGCTGTCCAGTATGGTAGCACAAGCAATGTGTGGCTATTTGAAATGTGGCCAGTCTGAAATAAGATGTGCTGTAAGCATAAGGTACATACTGGATTTTGAAGACAGTACCAAAAATTGAAAATATCTGATTAATAATTTTATATTAATCACATGTTGAAATGATTTTTTTTAAGACAGCTTTTTGCTCTTTTTGCCCAGGCTGGAGTGCAATGGCACAATCTTGGCTCAGTGCAAGCTCAGCCTTCTGGGTTCAAGTGATTCTCCTGCCTCAGCCTCCTGAATAGTTGGGGTTACACGTGCCCACCACCATCCTTGGCTAATTTTTTGTATTTTTAGTAGAGATAGGTTTCATCATTTGGCCAGGCTGGTCTCGAACTCCTGACTTCAAGTGACCCACCTGCCTCAGTTTCCCAAAGTGCTGGGATTATAGGCGCGAGCCACCGTGCCTGGTCTAACATATTCTTGATATACTGAGTTAAATAAAATAGATTATTACAATTAATTTTATTTCTTTTTATATTTTAAAACATGACTACTAGAAAATTTAATATTATGTTACTGCTTTATATGACTATTAGATAGTGCTGGGCTAGTCCTAAGATACTGAAGCCTCAACTGTGTCTTAATATATCTTCCACAGGCTTGAAGTATGTGCTGCATATAACTCCCTTCCCCTACTTTGTCAATGCCTATATTAATAATTAGAGGTCTTGACAATAAATCCCAAATTCCATTTCACAATGTCCCCAGATGGAGACGGGGCAAGTATATAAATTGAGGCCCTGGGGGAAGCACAGCTATTCCAGAGTCCTAGTAGTGACTGAGTAAAGAGAGCTTTCTTTTTTCTCTTCTCACACTTCTTTTCAAGGGGTAGTCAGGAATAAACCACTACAGAATTCCTCATAAAACCACACACCACCACCATCTATTCACAAGCATGATCCCGTTCCAACAAACAGCAATACTAAAAAAGCAAACCCAGTTGGCTGCTATCCATTAGTCACTGAGACGTTGGTTATCCCTTCAGAGGGCTAAACATAGGATATTTCACTATCATCAAGTCTAGAAGAATATTTATGCTACACTTGGACTTATGCCCAGTGACTGGGTATTAACAAAGTCATTAATCTGGATAGTGTTTTCAAGTCTAGCATCAGTGAAAATCCTGTTTGTTTAAACTGAGATTATCTTAGTCACTGTACTCATTACCTCTTATTAGGTTGAGAAAATACGCTTGAATTTCTCATTTATAAAATATTCTTTTTGTAGAAAAACAACTTTCAGGAAGGCATGATGTTTGCCTTGATAATAATTGATTATTTTTCAGAAGAGAACTTCAGTCAGGACCTTAATAGTGGATAGAGTATAACTCATGAATCTATAGTTATGGCTTTAATCTTTGGTTAATTTCACCAGGAGAAAAAACTTTCAGGGTTGTGTGATTGCACAGAAACTTTCACTTCCGTGGGCATCTGGAGGCCCTCCCTTGCGCTTCTCTCCAGAGATTTAAAGTAGGTCTAAACACATCTGCAGAGAATGATCAGTAGCTCTAAGCTGTGAATTGCTTTCTTCCCTTGACGGCTCTAGTCTGATTTGGATCCACCTCATAATCCTGACCATGGTTTCACTGGAAAGACACCAATCCTCCCAATAAAAGGAGCAAGTATGGCTTTTCATTTCTCTTTATATAAGAAGCAAGACTGTAAGGATAAGTTGAATATAATTTCAGGCCAATGCAACCTTGATGTATTGAGAAAAATACCATCAAGAGAAAAAAGTACTGAGAGTAGTGACTTGTGAATTTACAGCTGCTGAAGTGGAATCCTACTGGCTGTTGTTAGCATTCATTTATTTAGCAGGCCTTTCATTAACAAAGAGTGGAAAATGGAAGTGCACATTATAAAATGAGATATATTTAAGTGTTTTTCAAGGTGAATCTCCATAATCCTTAACTTTTCTATCCTTAACCTTTACATTGTGTGAAAGGCAGGATTTTCCAAGAATGATCTAGGAAATACCTCGGCCTCCTAATCTATGCTGTTTTTGAACGTGATAAGATCTTGGTCCCATGACTGTGTTCTACCTATGGTACAATTTTCTTTTTTGAGACTGAGTTTTGCTTTTGTTGCCCAGGCTGCAGTGCAGTGGCATGATCTTGGCTCACTGCAACCTCCACCTCCCGGGTTCAAGAGATTTTCTGCCTCAGCCTCCCAAGTAGCTGGGATTACAGGCAGACATCACCATGCCCAGCTAATTTTTGTATTTTTAGTACAGATGGGGTTTCGTCATGTTGGCCAGGCTGGTCTCGAACTCCTGACCTCAGGTGGTTCACCCGCCTCAGCTTCCCAAAATGCTGGGATTACAGGAGTGAACCACTGCTCTCAGCCGGTACAGTCAATTTTTGAAAAGGAAGACCATTCAGGTGGGCCTGATCTATTCAAATAAATCTTGAAATGCAGAGCACTGGCTATGTCTGGTGGCAAAAGAGGGAAGCCATATGGGAAATGAGAGATTTGAAGCATGAGAGGCATTGTTGGCTTGAAGAGGGAGAGGGCCAATCCATGAGGAATGTGGGTGACATCCGAAAGTTAAGATTGGCCCCCAACTGCCATCCAGCGAGAAAACAAGGACTTCAGACCTGCAGCTACTAGGAATTGGATTCTGTCAATAATCTGAAAGATCTTGAATGCAGGCAAGAGCCCAGACACCTTGATTGTGGCTTTGTGAGACCCTGAGCAGAGAACCCTAAGCTAAGACCATGTGGACTTGTGACCTACAGAACTCTGAGATAATAAACAGGTATTGTTTTTAGCTGCTAAGTTTATGGCAATTTGTTGTGCAGTCCAAGAAAATGGATACATCTTGGTAATTTGTTGGATTCCATAGCTTTTCTTTGTTGTGGTTCATAAATCCACTGAGTTTACAAGCCGTGTGGCCTTAGGTGTATTACTTGTCCTTGAGCCTATAAAACCTGCCTCACTGAGTTTTTATGAAGATTAAATGAGATCCACATAAAGTGTTTACTGCAGAACCCAGCACTCAGCAGGATCTCAGTCAAGCTCTACCTCTGCTTGAATATTTATGTAGCCCGCAATGTCCACCTAAATACAGAGCTCCTGCACATTATTGCCGTTCCAGCCACATGATATGTGCTCCCAAATGGAGTCTACACACAAACAGAATTTTAAAGCTCAAATTCATCAAATATTTGCATTGGGAAATGAACATGTGAAAAAGATGTATACAAAATTCTTTGTCCTCAAACTGCCCAGAAGTTTGTAGGATAGAATTACGTAAACAAAGAATTGCAATGCAGTGTCAGCCACACTAGAATATACCAACTGCTGAGGCCACAGCACCTTTCCACTGTGTCCAGAAAGTGGAGCAACTTGTCAAGTAGACATGAGAAGTGAAAGCATTCAGGCGGCACCGAAGGGTCTGCAGTGATGGGGGTTGGAAGGACTCTGATTTGGAGGGGAACCGAGGGCGCCTGAGTGAGGTATGATGGAAGGTGGAACTGAGACATTGGGCTGAGGATGGACTGCATTCCATGTGAACCTCCATGCTAATGGGTTTGTGCTTCGTGCTTTTGGCTCTGGGGTGCTCTTAGGTTTTTTTTGGCATTTGAGTCACCTGATCAAATCTGTGTGCTAAAAAGGAAACATTGGTTGTGATGGAGAGGAGTGGAATACAAACAGGAGGCTAGTGTAGTAATAGGCTTTAACTTTCAAAGAAAATACAAAAAAATATCCTGAGGCTCTTTCTTCATGGTGAGGTCCTGACATTCTAATGCCTTAGTTTAATATCATTTATAAAATAAATGTCTGCCGTGATGAACAGCAAAGCGAGGACTTCTTGTACAGGTGGGGCATGGTGTGGGTTAGCTGCTGCCCAAGCTGGCTAGAACAGGAAGGGTGGAAGGAGAGGGCTGTGGCCTGAGCCCTCAATATTAAAAGCTATGGTCTGGACTGTGGCAGAAAGAAGGGGCTGGAACAGCACCTTCCTACACTGGCTTGAGTGGGTGGGCGTGGATTCCCTTCTAACTGGGAAACTACTTCTCATGCCTGAGAGGAAAGAGGAAAAGACACTTTGTTCTGAATTAACACTTGGTAACTCTTTTTCACATATAAATGATGTTATAAATAGCGTTTGGCTACAAGACTGGCTTCTTTGATGAGCAGCAAGATGCCCGAAATCTAGTTCATTTATAACTATTATTATTATTATTATTATTGAGATGGAGTTCCGCTGTTGTTACCCAGGCTGGAGTGCAATGGCACAATCTCGGCTCACTGCAACCTCCGCCTCCTGGGTTCAAGCAATTCTCCTGCCTCAGCCTCCCAAGTAGCTGGGATTACAGGCGCATGCCACCATGCCCAGCTAATTTTTGTATTTTTAGTAGCGACAGGGTTTCACCTTGTTGACCAGGATGGTCTCAATCTCTTGACCTAGTGATCCACCCACCGCGGCCTCCCAAAGTGCTGGGATTATAGGCTTGAGCCACTGCGCCCGACCTATAACTATTATTTTTATCTTCTGGATATTTCACTAACAGCCAGACTTTTGGAATATGATCTTTTTGTACAGTGGAAATGGATGATCTGTGATTGAGAGTTTATAATCATGTTAGTTCATCAGGTAATAAGCTTAGGATCGTCTTGAGAATTTAACGTGTTGCTGTAAAGAACTAGACCAGAAGACATCGTCCAGCGTACTGACTTAGAAATATTTCTATTTAATAATGAACCACATTGTTTTTTTTTTTTTAAATCAGAACAGAACTTTATTTGTGGACTCAAGATTTTAAAAAATGACTTTATACTTTAAAGTGTGCAATAAATTTTGATACATCAATCTTGATATATATATTTACCATATCAGAAGATTTTAAAAAGTCAAATAGTTTGTAATCAAAATGAATTGTGTATAACTTGATACTTTTATGGAATAACTTCAGCGTTATAAATAAAAAACTAAAACAAATATTTAAATTTGAGTTCTGATGAAATGCATTTGTAATACAATCTTATGTTAAAATTTTTAGAGATTGTAGGCTAAAATTACATGCTTATAATTTCTAGAAACATACAATGTCCTTGCTTTATGAAAATGATCCTACTGACTGTCCGGCGGTAGAATGCATTTGAGACACTTTTCTATGTGGGATAAGGGGCTGTGTTGCTTGATACAGATTCCTTCCAGATCATGAGCCCCCAGTGGGAGACGAAGGGGATGAAGGTCTGCAGCTGGGGAAGGGTGGGAGTGACTCTCATCTTATTAACACCATCTTCGAGTCACTTAATCATCCAAATGAGCATCAGCCAGATAAAAAGAAAGCTTTGTATCTTCTTATGCTCTGATATTTCACAAAAGTGATATTTAAACAATTGTGGCAATATCCTGTTTTAACAAAAATAATTTTCACGTTCCATTCTACATAATGAGGACATATCCAAAATGCATTGGCCCACATTACTATTACTTTGCTGATATGAAGAAAATGAATTATGATGCTAAGATCCATATATAGACACATGTGTATCTATGTATACTTAGGTATTTATTATCAGCTATGTTCCTACTTCCTTGTCTCTTAGAAGTCACTTTACTTTTAAATGATTCTTTGGGAGCCTGGTCAGTTTGCACACCTGACTTAACACAATCTGATTGATGGTCAGCACAAAGTACCTTCTGATTGTGTAACACTTTACAACATACTTTTTGCTTTCTCATCTTTCTAGAACTTATGACAGTCTGGTATGACAATGAGGGTGGGCACGATTATTTTCATTTGACAGACGAAGAAACACAAGTCCAGGGAGGTTAAGTAAGCTGCTTCAGTTCACACAGCTGGTGAGATATCAAACCAGGACTATATCTGGTGCTCATGCCTGACCACTGGTTGACAGTGGTGAAGACAAAACGCAGGGTGCATTAAACTGTGAATTGCTTCCTCTAAACCATGCTAACGATGTGGTGTTTGGAAAGTTGAAAGTGGTTTTGCTACTGTCACATTTCAGATTTCTAACAGATGCTGAGTGCTCATCACGTTATACCCCAACAAACTTAAACCAAGAAACAGAATTTGTTTTTACAGTTCTCACAGGGTGTGTTTATATATAATATATATAAAATATATTATATATTACATATAATATATAATATATATATAATATATATATTTAAGATATATATAATATATATATTTAAGAAGATTCATAACATATATTTACAATTATTCCTAAATCACCAAGATACCATACTGAGAAAGAGGCTTCATCTATTTAAGACCCATTTTCTATATAAGCATGCCAATATAAGGATGATACAATATAAGTATGAAATATAAATACAGTGTTGGCACACTTATCTTTGCAGGTGCGCTGGAATCTAGAACATTTCCCTTTTACCTTCTTCTGCTTACCCCTACTTTTGATTGTTTTACAGATTCACTGACACATCTGTAAGTCCCTTGAGGATCAGGACTCAGCCAGATTTCTCTGAAGCTGACAAACCTTACCCCAGGGCACAGCACAGCACTATGCACAGAGCATTCAATAAACCTTTGATGAATGCATGTACATGGTCTTTATGTATTTCAGTTTGGTTAAAGAAGGATTCAACCTACAGCATTTTGCCTACAGAGTTTTGGATTTGTAATAAAACATTGTCTTCATAGTAAACAGTATTTTCAAAAAGCATAAGAAATACAGTAATAAATTTAATACAAATTATGCATTATATCAACTCTTTGGTTATTTTAAACAAATCATTTGTTTTTTTTTTTTACTAGAGTGATACTAAAAATATAAAAATGCGACTACAGAAATTAGCTTAATCTGTAAACATAATAAACGCTGTAAACATACATTTACTACATAATTGTACAAGTGTAGAGAATGACTAGTAAAGGCAAGTGCTATACACTTCATTTAGTTCTTCAAGGCATATTTAGAAATACTGCTTTGTGGATCTTCAATGTTTGAAGAAGGAATTCTAACTACACTAAAATATGAAAAAGTGATGACTATACCAATGATCATAAGGATATGCAGGCAAGAGAAAGGCCTTAATACTTTTTACCCATCGCAAAAATGACTTGCTTCACATGTCTTATGAATCACCTGTTTAGTAAAAACTGCATATTAACAAAAAGCCAAATACTTTGAAAGTGAAGAAGTAAACTGTTTTTCTGTGAGTTAGTTGACTAGAAAAATAGATAACACACTTTCCAAGGTTTTTCCAAAAATCTAGGCGGTAAGGTGCATAAGGCAGGTCTACAAAAATAATAAATACTGCGAGTAGCACTAAATACATTGTAGTTTATGCAATAGTATTTTTTTTTCCAAATTTCAGTTTTCCATCTCAAAATGCATCAACATCTTCACACATGACACTTATCACAAATATTTCACAGTTATAATCTCAGTAGTTTAAGAAAAAACTGCCTGGCAGATACTATACAAGAGGTAAATGTTATGGCCAAAATTCACTATTTAAGTCGTACGGGACTTATATCCTATTGTGTGAACTCTAAAGACAGAATGGAACAACTGTGTAAATACAACACATTATTTAAAAGCGATTAAAATAAAGTTGTCATACTGTTTCTTCAAATGCTTTTTATATGCTTTTCTTCAAGATCTGGGAAGAATCAGTGGCCAGGTTTTAGTAGTTCCCTGGAAAATTTTAAGTCATGATTTGGCTAACACCATAGACTGTTATTTGTAATCTAATCAACTCCATCAAAACCCTGAGTGTTTTCAATTGCCATCTGAAGTTTATCCCATAATTCTTCAAATGATTCATAAGGTGGCAAGTCCAGGCGATTAAAGCTGAAAGAACAGAGGAACTGGTTATGAAAGACGTTGACAAAGCAAGTACCACCAGAGCACACAGCAGTGCTGCTAATCGTGATGAGTAAGTTCCAACACCACCAAAATACGTCTTTTCATCGGGGCTAGAAGTAAGATGTAGGACTGGGCTCTGGGCATGGATGCTCCACACGACTCCTTGTGGAGTCCTGCTTCTACCTGTCTTCCAAATGGCTGAGTTCCTCTACCATGTTAACCTCCAAAATGGAATGTTCTAGCCCCCCTTGGGAAGGCTGATCACTCATCACTCAGTTTAAATGGGCCTCTCTGATCTTCAGCTACCTGGATTTCAAGCCCCGGCAAACTTGGTAACAAAACACTTGTTTGTTGGGTTAGTGTTGCAGTCTCATCCTTATCCATCATCTACACCTGCCACTACAATAACAGAGGAGACTAGCCCTGCTGTAGCTAGACGATCAGAGGAACCTCACTCTCTGAGGCTTTGTTCTATCAAGGTCCAGACAACTGCTTACCAGGTATGAGCTCTTGGCAGCTTTTCAGGAGTACCCCACTGTTCAACTGTAAACAACTGTGGTCCGTTTGAACCTATAAGGAAAATTTATTTGATTTCATTTACTCTCTACAAGGATCTCCAGGCATACCAAAATTTTTCTAGTGTAGAACCTACACATACAAGGAACTAATCCGGTTTATTTATATTTTAGAGATGGGGTATCCCTCTGTCACCCAAGCCAGAGTGAAGTGGCATGATTCAAGCTCACTGTAGCCTTAAGCTCCTGGGCTCAAGTGATCCTCTTGCTTTAGTCTCCTGAGTAGCCAGGACTACATGGGTGCACTACCATGCCTAGCTAACTCATAAAAAATTGATTTTATAGAGATGGGGGTTTCACCTTGTTGCCCAGACTGGTCTTGAACTCCTGGCCTCAAGTGATTCTCTCAGTTCAACTCCCAAGTGTTGGGATTATGGGCATGAGCCACCATACCCAGCCTTCTAATGTGGTTTCTTTAAACTCAAGAGATGAAGTCCTGTGCTGGATGTCTTCATTGTTCAGCCATGAAATGAAGATTCCTTGTCTATCAGTTCATTTTTCATATCACACGTGGAGTGGCATATCTGACATTGCTTTTGCTGTATCCTAGCTCTATACACACTGCATTTCCATATACAATTTCCCTCATAGGTACAAAGAGTAAATAAGCATTCTCTTTCTTTTTTGAGTACCACTGAAAATAGCTTTAATTTTTTTGAATTATACAAATAATCTGGCTGACTCTGGGCACACTACCTATGAGTTAGCCCTGCTAATTAAACAAACAAACAAACCACAATCCCAGCACTTTGGGAGGCTGAGGCAGGCAGATCACTTGAGACCAGGAGTTCGAGACCAGTCTAGTCAATGCGGCGAAACCTCGTCTCTACTAAAAATACAAAAATTAGCCAGGCGTGGTAGTACATGCCTGTGGTCCCAGCTACTTGGGAGGCTGAAGCATGAGAATCGCTTAAACCCGGGTTGTGGAGGTTGCAGAGAGCTGAGATTGCGCCACTGCACTCCCACCTGGGCAAAAGAGTGACACTCTGTCTCAAAACCAAACCAAAACGAAACAAAATCCCAGAGAGTAGAAAGATGGAAACCAGAGACTGGGAAGGTTGTAGGGGGTGGGGGAGTGAACAAGGTGGCGATGACTAATTGGTACAAAAAAATAGTTAAAAAGAATGAATAAGACCTACCATTCGCTAGCACAACAGGGTGACTATAGTAGAAAATAATTTAATTGTGCATTTAATAATAAATAAAAGAGTATAATTGGGTCATTTGTAACAAAGGATAAATGCTTGAGGGGATGTATACCTCATCCACCCTGATGAGATTTTTACTCATTGCATGCCTGTATAAAATATGTCAAGGGCTGGGCACAGTGGCTCATGCCTATAATTCCAGCACTTTGGAAGGCTGAGGCAGGCAAATCATGAGGTCAGGAGTTCGAGACCAGCCTGTTCAGCATGGTGAAACCTTGTCTCTACTAAAATTACAAAAAATTAGTTGGATGTAGTGGCAGGCACCTGTAATCCCAGCCACTTGGGAGGCTGAGGCAGGAGAACCACTTGAAACCAGGAGGCAGAGGTTGCAGTGAGTTGAGATTGTGCCACTGCACTCCAGCCTGGGTGACAGTGAGACCCATTTCAAAAAAAAAGTTGGGATTACAGGAGTGAGCCACCACGCCTAGCCGACTTAAAACACTTTTTATTGGCTATCTAATATTGCATTGTAATTTTAACATTTTGAAATAACTTCTTCTTTCTATAAATATATAAGAATTTGACTTTATATTTTAACACAAACAACTCTGGCACTATGTGTGGGATATTTGCCCCAAATTTGAAACAGTGAATGAAATCAGTGGATAGGCCTGGGTTACATAAAAGGAGGAAGAGGCCAGACAGAGATGGAAAAGAGCATTTGTTTGCCCTGCCTTTATTCTCTACTAACTGGTTACGGTAGAGAAGATAAAGGAAGGGGAGTCAGAGGCTACGAAGTCCAATTAGGCAAGAAATCACTGAATTGGTAGTGGCAAAGCTAACCACTTTGAGTGGGTTACTCTAGGTAGAGAAGGAGCAGCTGCTTGATTTGTTCTGCAAATACACATTAATGAAGCTTAGCAGGCTGACCAGATTTGACATGGAGAAGGCAGGGTTTAGCAATCCCATCAGATGGCCAGCTTCTATTTACATAAAACAATTCAGTTTAGTCAATTCCTAGGCAACAGTCCCCGACTTCTGAGGCCCCAGGACGATCCTAATCTTACTCGTTGTTCTGAATAGGGCTCTCACTTTAGCTACATCTTTTCTGAAGATTTATTCTTGGATTCTTAGTGTCCTTAAAAACAAGTAAGTATCATTCCAATGTAAATCAGCATGAGAAAAGTTGCTGTGATCTACACCAGAAATGGCACTTTAAAAAAAAACACATCTACAGTTTTATACATCAACCGGAAAACAATTTGACAGAGTACATAGAAGCTTACTTTATAGAAAACTGCATTAATTATTCTGAAAATCAAGAGATATGCCCAGTCTTATGCCCAGTCCTGCTGCTTCCCCCAGTAAATGAAAAACTGTAGCCTAATGAGATTCTACACCCCTATCTTGAAAGGAAAAAGAAAAAAAAAAAAAGATTTCATGATTAAATAAGTTTGGAAAACAATGCTTTTGTTTTCTTCTGACAGTAAAGGTTATACATAAGTCCTGAAGAAATCCATTTAACTTTGTTTAGTACAACATTTCCTCAAAGTTACTCTACTATGACTCTGTTTTTTTTTTTTTTAATACACTTATTAACATTCTGTGGAACTTCAAATGCTATCCTGAACTACCACATTAAAGGTCATGCTTTTTCTTTTTTTTGAGACGGTCTCACTCTGTTGCCTAGGCTGGAGTACAGTGGTGCGATCTTGGTTCACTGCAACCTGCACCTCCTGGGTCAAGCAATTCTCCTGCTTCAGCTTCCTGAGTAGCTGAGACTACAGGTGCATACCACCAAGCCCAGCTAATATTTGTATTTTTTGGTAGAGATCGGGTTTCAGTGTGTTGGCCAGGCTGGTCTTAAACTCCTGGCCTCAAGGGATCTGCCTTCCTTGGCCTCCCAAAGTGCTGGGATTACAGGCACGAGCCACCCCTCCCAGCCAAGGCAATGCTTTTTCTGTCACGGAAGCATACTGGGCATAGAATTTGAAGTTAAGGAACAGAAAGTGACTGAAGTCACCTGATGATTCCAGTTTTCTCCTTTATTATCTGACTAGAAAGTGTAAATATATTTTAGCCTACTCCACTGTCTCTAAGGATATCACTTTCAAAAGCTTAATACTTATTAAAATTAAGCTAAGTGTTAGTAAATGATAAAAGCTTGAGGATTCATCAGCCATGAAAAAGACAATAGGCATCACTCCCCTTTTTAATGATCTATGGAAAACCCTTACCATATAGTTCCGCAAATCCATTCATAGGCACCCGAGATGTGCCAGTGACAAACTGAAGTAATCTTATTCTTTTTTCTGAATCCATCATTAAAACAGCCTGAATAAGATAAAAACATAATTTAGGGAACAGCACTGAAAAAAGGGTAAACAAATAATCCGAAAACATAAGCAATCAGAATTTAGTTAGAATATTAATAATCCCTTACTAGATTTGCATATTTCTTTAGTTAAATTTTTGTTTATAGGTGGCTTACAAAGTTCTTGGAAACTTTATTTCTAAGGCTATATGGCAACGTTTTAGAATGGGATTATAACCTAGTGAACTAAAAACATTTATTTTCAGATGTGACTCAAGGCTTTTAAAAATTATATGCTGGGCGCAGTGGCTCATGCCTATAATCCCAGCATTTTGGGAGGCTGAGATGGGTAGATCACTTGAGGCAAGGAGTTCAATACCAGCCTGGTCAACATGGTGAAACCCCATCTCTACTAAAAATACAAAAATTAGCCAGGCATGGTGGTGCAGGCCTGTAATTCCAGCTACTCGGGAAGCTGAGGCAGGAGAATTGCTTGCACTTGGGAAACAGAGGTGGCAGTGAGCTGAGACTGCGCCATTGCACTCCAGCGTGGGAGACAGAGTGAGACTCTGTCTCAAAAAAAAAACAAAAAACAAACCACATTATATTAATATTATTGAATGGCATACATATTTCTCTATCAGAAATTTTAAGAGAGACATCCAAGAGTCCCTAGGAATACCCTGCAGGTTATTACAAGTCCCTTCAGAGTCCCTCCTTTAGTAGGAAATGAAGCAACTGTCTCTGCCTGTCATTCTACTTCCTACATTCTGAACATTTTACTTACCTGGTAATAGTTACAGACCCAGCAGGTGCACATATACGGTACAAAATGAAAGGTAATTTTTGCTGGTCTATATATTTTTTCTGTATCAGTTATATGTAATCCACCAGTACAGTGAATCAAGAGTTGACTTAGATATAATTAAATCTAACAAAAATTAATTTACAAAAATAGAAGTTTCCAATTACCTTCCAAAACCATTGTATAACCTGATGATTTGCGCTGTAGCCATTTTTATACTTGGCATGTTCTCTCCAGTCATTCACATCGACGTCTCCCAGTCCACACATAAGAAGCTACGTAAGGAATGTCAAATCATAAACAAGGAAAATAATGGGTTCAAACTTTAACATAAAATGTTAGGAATGTTATATCTTACCTCTAGTTCATTTTCATCAAAAATTTTGATGAGATCCTGTGGTATGAGTTCAAAGAATCCCTAGAAGAAAGATGTATTTAAAAACCTGATGGGCAGGGCCAATGGCTTTTCCTGTGCTTCAGCTTCTGGGTTCTAAAGGAGGAATCGCACATCCACACAAGTTTCTACCACTACACAATTATGGGCTCTTCCCTGAGATCTCAATATTGGTCAGAAAATGTACATGTGCACAGTCTGTTCTCTCTCATTTATTCCTCAAAGTGGCTATTTTCAAACTCTCTATGGCCAGGCGCAGCAGCTTATGCCTGTAATTCCAGCACTTTGGGAGGCCGAGGTGGGCGGATTGCTTGAGTCAAGGAATTTGAGACTAGCCTGGGAAATATGGTGAAATCCCATCTCTACAAATACAAAAATTAGCCAAGCATAGTGATGTTCACCTGTAGTCCCAGCTACTGGGGAGGCTGAGGTAGTCCAGCCTGGACGACAGACTGAGACCCTTTCTCAAAACAAGAACAACAACAAAAACCAAATTTCCCATCCTTCTCAAGCCTCCATATCACCCCTTCTTTCCAGTAGATGAGTTCTATTTGGGAGAAAACAGAGGCAAGTGGCTGGGTGCGGTGGCTCACACCTGTAATCTCAGCACTTTAGGAGGCTGTGGTGGGTGGATCATGAGGTCAGGAGTTTGAGACCAGCCTGACCAACATGATGAAACCCCATCTCTACTAAATATACAAGAAAAATTAGCCGGGTGTGGTGGCATGCACCTGTAATCCCAGCTACTCAGGAGGCTGAGGCAGGAGAATCATTTGAACCCAGGAGGCGGAGGTTGCCGTGAGCCGAGATTGCACCACTGCACTCCAGCCTGGGCAATGAAGTGAGACTCTGTCTCAAAAAAAAAAAAAAGAAAGAAAACAAAAAGAGAAGCAAGTATGCATGATGGAACTCCCTCAAGCTTCTCCATCCCTGCGTCCCAACCATCACCAACACCCATCATGGCCTCCTTCCCACTGCATTGGAAAAGAGAGGTGCCACCTCCTCTTTCAGGCTAGGCCTGCACCTGTGTTTCACCTGCTCCTCAGCGAGGTCATCTTACTAGATCTCTTTCTCTTTATTGGCTTACTCTGTATGCATTAAAATGTTAAAACAAAGCAAGCAAACAAACAAAAAACCCTAATGACTCTTTTCCCATTCACAGCTGAGTTCTTGGCAATGCCATGCAGTTACCAAATCCACTCACTCGCTTCCCATCTAACCCTCAACCCACTGCCATCTGACCTCTGCACTACAGCTTCCTTGAAATTGTTCTGGAAAAAGTCAAGGACAGCTTTGTAGCTATATCTGATAAACACTTTTAATTCCTTATCATATTTGACTTCTTTGCAGTATGATTAAAAACATCTTTGCTATTGAAACTCTGTCTGCTCTTGATACCATTGCCTGCCTTTGTTAATTTCCTTTGCAGTTTCCTCCCCCACACCCCATGCTCTAACTGTCCATTCACAAACCTTCCATTCAAAACAAGAGTTAAGATGCTGGTGTTCCCAGGTCTCTCTCCACATATGAGGCCATCCACTTTCACATTTTCCATCTTACTGAGTTTACCGCTTCACTACATGTAGGCAGATAACCCCCAAACCCATACTTCTCTACCTTTTAAGTCTCCCTTCCTGAATGACATTCAAATGCACAGGTAGCTCTTATCACCACCACTATCTTCATTCCCTTACCATTCCTATCTCAGTTCCCTCACCATTCCCTAATTCCTTACCATTTCTCAGCAAGATTATTGTAGCACTTTCCCAACTTTGCTGGGAAGTCTGCTGCTAGTCTTGCTCTCATCTAACTTGCTCTACATAGCACTTCCAGAATGATCTAAAACGTAAATTGAATCTTGGTGTCTTATTGGTTAACAGCCTTTAATGCTACCTTCCTTCCCCATCCTTGAAATTCAGACACAACTCCGAACTCTACTGAGTCACACACAGGCCTTTTATAAGCTGGTCTCTTAGCTCTGCAGGCTTTTTGATCCCCTCTTGCATTCTCTCAGCCAGCATACTCAACGGCCTGTGGGTATAGACTACCTTACTGCCAGACTTCACACACGCTGCTCCTGCTGCTTAGAACTGCATTTCCCTCCTCTCCATGTTTGCCCAAACCCTCTAGTCCTTCTTTGTCCTTTCCCCTCCCCCTCCCTGATTTGTACTTTTCTTCTGTGCTCTCCTAGCATTTATGCTTGCCTGTGTTCATTTCACTCTTTTTGTCTTTTCTTTTTTTGAGACAGAGTCTTGCTCCATCACCCAGGCTGGAATTGCAATGGCGCGATCTCAGCTCACTGCAACCTCTGCCTCCCAGGTTCAAGAGATTCTCCTGCCTTAGCCTCCTGAGTAGCTGCAATTACAGCTGCTACCATGCCCAGCTAATTTTTGTATTTTTAGTAGAGATGGTGTTTCACCATTTGGTCAGGCTGGTCTCAAACTGCTAACAATGTAATCTGCCCGCCTCAGCCTCCCAAAGTGCTGGGATTATAGACGTGAGCCACCGTGCCTGGCCCCATTTCACTCTTTACAGCATACATCCCTTGATAGCAGGACCTATGCCTTTTGGCCTGGTACAGCACCATACACACAGTATTCAATACTAAATTTATGAAAAGTATGTGACACACACACACACACACACTTTTTAGAGACAAGGTTTTACTCTGTCACCCAGGCTTGAGTGCAGTGGTGCCATTATAGCTCATAGCTCACTGTAGCCTTGACTTCCCAGGTTCAAGTGATCCTCCATCTTCAACCTCCTTAGTAGCTATGACCATAGGCATATACCACAACACAAGGCTGATTTTTAATTTTTGTTAGAGATAAGGTCTCCCTATGTTGTCCATGCTGGTCTTCAACTCTTGGGCTCAAGCGATCCTCCTGCCTCAGCCTCCTCAAGTGTTGGGATTATAGGTGTGAGCCACTACGCCCAGCCAGATACACGTTGAACAGAAGATGTTCAGTTAGCTTAATAAATGAGTGCTCTGACAATCACTTATATGCCTACCAATTGGGGAAGTTTAAATAACATATTAATTCATATTATGAATAAAATATAGCCACAAAGAAAGGCAGCTATATGTCTCCACATATAAATATCCCCAATACATATCTGATTAAAAAAAGAAAGTAGGCTGGGCACGGTGGCTCATGCCTATAATCCCAGCACTTTGGGAGGCCAAGGCGGGTAGAGGTTAGGAGTTTGAGACTAGCCTGATCAACATAGTGAAACCCTGTCTCTGCTAAAAATACAAAAATTAGCCGGGCATGGTGGTGGGTGCCTGTAACTGCAGCTACTCAGGAGGCTGAAGCAGAAGAATTGCTTGAACCTAGGAGGTGCAGGTTGCAGTGAGCCGAGATTACACCACTGCATTCCAGCCTGGGCGACAGAGTGGCCAATAGCTCTAGTCCTGCTAGTCCAAAAAAACTAAACAACAACAACAAAAGAAGAGGGCATGGTGGCTCACGCCTGCAATATCAGCAGTTTGGGGGTCTGAGGCGGGTGGATCACAAAGTCAAGAGATCGAGACCATCCTGACCAATATGGTGAAACCCCATCTCTACTAAAGATAGAAAAAAAAGTTAGCTGGGCATGGGGGTGCATGCCTGTAGTCCCAGCTACTGGGGAAACTGAGGTAGGAGAATCGCTTGAACGCAAGAGGTGGAGGGTGCAGTGGGCCAAGATCGCGCCGGTGCACTCCAGCCTGGCAACAGACAAGACTCCGTCTCAAAAAAAAATAAAATAGAAGAAAGTAAGACACAAAACAAAATGTATGAGGTGATCCTATTTAGAAAAACAAATATGCCACGCTATCCCTACAGCACTCTTGTTCTTTTACTGTCCTACAGTGAAGGAAATGGAATTGGGAAAACGCGTGGGAGAAGAGGAACTTTCAATGTCTATTGTCTAGAATTCTTGAATGAATGAATGGAATAGTTAATACAAAAATATAACTTAGAATAATTTCACAAAACAAGCCGTATACTTATTTTTGTCAGATGTGATGAGCCCTAATATTTGAAACTTATGGGTTATACTGTGAAATTATGGAAGAGCAAATAAAAGAAAATAAATACCTCTTTAAAAGCAGCCATTTGCTTCTGGATTCGGTTTACAAATCGCCACTGTATTACAAGACTAAAAAGAAACATTTCATTTTCACATGAACCAAGACAAAATTCAGAGGCACAATTATTCCAGTTAGAAGCAGAAACCAAAGACTAGCTGAGCCCAAGCAAAAGCGGAATATGAGTGCTTGCTACTGCATTGGGATAGAGAGGAAAAGAACACTGGGATTCTGGCCCACGGGACAGAGGAAGATGGTAAGAGGAGTCTTTTTGGAATAAAGTATAAAATTATGTACAATAAAATACTTACTAATAAAATACTTACTAAATATATTCCTTTTTATTCTTATTGGTGACAACTATTTCTGATCCACCATTTTTCAACTCATGTTGGTGTGTCTAAAATTAAACACAATGCCTTGATATGTTATTTTAGTGAGAAAAATTTCTAAAGTATATATATTGTAGTTATACAAGAAACCTGGTGTTTTAAATTAAGTCCAGTCAAAAGTTAAAAGCTAAGAAAACTTAAAATATTGATTTTACTGAAATAAATATGGAACGAGTCAAATGTCAAAGAAAGCACAAATTCTTGCTGAGAGACAGCTTTTTTTTACTGGAAAATAAGTGTAAAAGTAGAGTATAGAAAAGTATTAAGCATATGTATTAACATCTCAACTTTTGTTTCACAATTTATGTGCCATTTTAACTGATCAAAATTCACAAACCTGTCCAAAAAGTTCTTCATCTATGATAAACCTGAGGTCCAATTCTGTTGGGTCATTTTCAAGAATCCATCTTAGAGAATTGTAATATTCACTATCCTAGATAGGAAAAATTACAAATTTAAAATTTGTATATATAACACAACTGAAATTGCAAAAACCAGTATGCAGAGGGTAAAAGACAAGAGGTCAGATGGACATCCTTTCCTTACACACATACACATATTACAAAAAGAGTGGATGACAGGTAAGGGCAAGAATAAAAATGCATCAATCAATCAAGTGGTGCCTACTTAAAAGTTCAGAATCTATGCCTATGTGGAAGCAGTGGAGGCACAGATTTTATTATCCAGTTAAAGGAGTGAATCAAAAAGTTTTCAGGTAAAACCTAACTTCCGTGGATATTCAGGAGCACTTAGCACAGTCCTCACATGCCTGTGTGACTATGTGTGAAATGTTCTATTAATTTTTTTTAATTTAATTTTTTTTTGAGACAGGATCTCACTCTATCACTTAGGTTGGAGTGCAGTGGCGTGATCATCACTCACTGCAGCCTTGACCTCCTAGGCTCAAGTGATCCTCCTACCCCAGCCTCTCCAGTAGCTGGGACTACAGGCATGCACCACCATGCCCGGCTAATTTCTGTATTTTTTTTGTAGAGACAGAGTATCACCATGTTGGCCAGGTTGGTCTCAAACTCCTGACCTCAAGTAATCCACCCACCTCAGCCTCCCAAAGTGCTGGGATTATAGTTGTGCACCACTGTGTTCGGCCCTGTGTGTGAAACGTTTAAGTAGCTATGAGGAGGCCATTATTTATACCCAGCCAGAGTTAAAGAAAAATCTCTAAATAAATAGAGAGGCTCAATGAACCAACTCAAATAACTGTGCAATCTTAAGATTAATAAAGAATCACGCTGTTTGTGCTGTAAATATGTAATAAGCAAAGAATGAAAAATGAACTTGGTACTAAAGAAGATGCCCTAGAATTCATATGAACACACATTGTGTGAAGCTATTCAGCAGCACAGGAAACAACATGGCTATAGTGAGGGGTTGAATCCTTGGGCTTCTGTTTCTTTCTAGGAGCTTAACCATAATGCTTTGCCTTTTGACTGCCATTTAAAAAATATACACCATTCATCATAAAACATCATATTTCAAATACTAATTCAAAAGATACATAACTTGTATAACCTGTTGACATATTTAGTGGGACGTTTACTGATACCTATAACTTGATAACTATAACTCTGAAATGCATGAAAAAACTAAGATAGGTTGATGGAGAGACAGACAGGTATGTGATAAATTAAATCTAGAACAAAAGGCAATTGTGAGTAGTGGATGTGGAAGTGCCCAGTGTAAAATTTCTCCAACTTTATTATACATTAGAAAATTTTCATAGTAAAATGTTGAGGAAGAAGTTCATTTATATTTTGAAACATGATAATTTATTAATTTCCATATTACTAAAATCAAATTCTCCAAAATGCTCAAGTTGCTTGTTAAATTATACTTCCTCTATACCATAAGTGAAAAAGACTTACCACAGATTCCATATCATGAAGGGTTATTGGTTTGTGAAGCATCATCTTGTAAAATGGGCGGATGAAAAAACCTTGCAAAAAACCAAATACATTTAAGATGATTACCAAGTGAAAGAAAACCGGTAATTACACTGTAAAAAGTTTATACTTAATACTAACCATCCAACAGTTTGCCATGATAAACTGCCATTCCAGCTACACGACCAATAAACTTGAAGTAAGAGAGGTGATCTTCGTTACACAATCCAGAGTTTGGATTTATCTGTAGGGTATAATTGTCCCTGTAAAGACAATTCCATTTAAATACTCCATTTGAAAAACTTTAATATGACAAATAATTATAAAAAATCTTCCTCTTTTAAGAATTGTTTACTAGTGTTAGAACCACATCCCTCTACTGTATTTAATGGTATTAAAAATAGTAATTTCCGTTACAAAGTTTTTTTTTTTTTTGAGATGGAGTATTGCTCTGTACCCCCAGGCTGGAGAGCAATGGCATGGTTTCGGCTCAATGAAACCTCCACCTCCCAGCTTCAAGCGATTCTCCTGCCTCAGCCTCCGAGTAGCAGGAACTACAAGCACCTGCCACCACACCCAGCTAATTTTTGCAGTTTTAGTAGAGACAGGGTTTCACTATGTTGGCCAGGCTGGTCTTAAAATCATGACCTCATGATCCACCCATCTCGGCCTCCCAAAGTGCTGATGTTACAGGTGTGAGACACAGTGGCTGGCCTAAACAAAGTATTATATGTAAAAATAATGGAATATTATTCAGCCTTAAAAAGGAAGGATATTCTGATACGTGCTACAACATAGATGAACCTTGAAGACATTATGCTAAGTGAAATGAGCTGGTCACAAAAGGACAAACAGTGAATGATTCCACTTATGTGAGGTACCCAGAGGAGTCAAATTCATAGGGACAGAGAGTAGAATGGTGGCTGTCAGGGAATGCAGAGCAAGTGCTTTCTGGGTACAGAGTTTCATTCTGGGAAGATGAGAAAAGAAAACGTTTTAGAGTTGGATGGTGCTGATGGCAACACAGCAATGTGAATGTATGTAACGACTCTAAATTTTGTATTTAAAATAGTTACAATGATAAATTTGTTGTAATATGTATTTTACCACAACTTTTAAAAGTCACTTCTGAAACATCAGTTAAAATTGCCCTTTTCTGGCATGACATAATTATCCTTGTATTGCATGACTCTTACTTCTAAAACCGTGATTTTTCTTTTTCTGCATATAGTCATTGTAAAGTTACTTACGTAGCAGAATATTCAAACAACCCATAATAAGGGTTAAACATTTCCTTTGAGATCAGGAAGAACCATTCTCTGGCAACTCCTCCATAATCCAATCCCTTTTCACCATCAAACTCAATCCACAGTCGAGCCTTGAGGAAGTCTGCTCTCTTGACACCCGTAATTCTCCGGTAAGAGTCCTCGAGAACAGTTGCTCGGCGAAGTTTCATTTCAAATTTGTTTGGAATGTCATTCTGAAAATCCAGAGGAGAGACTTATGGTTTAAATCAGTTCAACACAGTAACAAACCTGTCTCTCATAAAGTTATAACATTCCCTCTACACCCTGTGTCTAAGTCTCTTTTTCCTCATGTAATATACTCAGAGCAAACACAACTAGGTATATTCTCTTGCTTTCCTCAATGGTATGAGAGAGTTCCTACATTTTCTCTAATTACTTACTAATATAGATTTCTTTATATCTAAAGGAGCTTTTTCTTTTTTGGAGAAAGTTCTGTTGTCTAGGCTGGTGTGCAGTGGCGTGAACATTGCTCACTGCAGCCTCGACCTCATGGGCTCAAGTGATCCTCTTGCCTCAGCCTCCTAAGTAACTGGACCATAGAAGCATGCCATCATGCCTGGCTAATTTTCAACGTTTTTGTACAGGTGAGGTCTTGCCATCTTGCCCAGGCTGGTCTCAAGCTCATAAGTTGAAGCAATCTTCCTGCCTTGGCCTTCCAAAGTGCTGGAATTACAGGGATGAGCCACTGTATCTGGTGTAAAGAAGCTATTGATTGTGATGGCAATGCCCCCATGAAGACATTTCATTAAGAGACCTTTTCATATTAAGTTCCAATGAACACCATTCTGTGACCCGTAGGATAGCCACTGCCTGCTAGTTGTTGCCTGCCCATTTGTTCAGGGTTTTCCCTATCTCTGTGTTTCCTCCCTGGGGTCTATCCTCTTTTACTCTTTAATAGATGCTAACATTAACAGATTGTGCCATATATGGTGTGGCTGGTTCCCCACCAAAATCTCATCTTGAATTGTAACTCCCACAATTCCCATGTCCTAGGAAGAACCCAGAGGGAGATGAATGAATTATGGGGCGGGTCTTTCCTGCACTGTTCTCGCAATAGTGAATGGGTCTCACGAGATCTGATGGTTTCTTTGCACAAGCTGTCTCTTTGCCTGCTGCCATCCACCTAACATGATTTGCTCCTCCTTGCTGTCCGCCATGATTGTGAGGCCTCCTCAGCCATGTGGAACTGTTAAGTCCAATAAACCTTTTTCTTTTGTACATTGCCCGGTCTCAAGTATGTCTTTATCAGCAGCGTGAAAACAAACTAATACAGCCAGGCACAGTTCCCCTGGAACCGGGGGTTAACTCATTTAGCCCTATAACAACACTATGCAAAAGCTACTATTATTGTCTTCATTTTACACATAAAACTGAAGAAGACAACTTAAGAAAGTCTTAGCTCCTGAGTCTGTGCTCTTAATTAATGGAGCTACATTGCCTCACTAATCTTTTGTAATTTCTTTGCTTATGTGACAAATGTACGTAACTATGCTTTAGGCAAATCTTACTGTAAATTTTACGAAAGGTAGGTCTAAATATTTCATTCCTCAGTACTTCATGGGCAAATTTCCAGGGGAAACTAGTAAGAGAAAACATGCCATCAACATTCTGTCACTTCCAAAAAAGAAGGTTAGCTCTAAGGAAAAAAAAAATTTGTTCTCAATTTATTTAGAGAAAATGGGAAGCCCTATAGAGACATGATAATGTTAGCAGTTGATATAAGCAATATAAGCATGATATGAGCATTTACTCTACTTCTTATGTCATTAAAGAAATGGTAAGCTTGCAGAAAAGCACTTTTAGACTGAATACTAGGCAGCTGGAGCAGGTAAGCATTTATCAAAGGCCCACTCTGGGCCAGGTGGTATTGTAGTAGCCAAGGATGGGGAATAAAGGGAATACAAACAGGCTGTAAAATGTTGCTTCCTCAAGGAGTTTCTAATCTGGTGCATATGTGAAAAACAAGTGTAAATGCTGCTGTTTCTGAGACTTAAAATAGGAGGAGAATTGCTGATGACGGAGATGTAAGCAGTGTTCTGCAGGGCATAAAAGACTGAGCTATTGACTTCAAATGAGGCAATCAAGGAGGCTTTGAGAGGAAGTCTTTAGACAGAAAAAGAGGGAAGGATGAACAGCATACATGAGGGGTCTGATACATTTAATATCTAGAGAGTACAGAAGGAGAAGGGAGAGGAAGGGAAAGAAAGCAGGGATTATAGTGAAAAAAATGTGAAAAAGTAGTCTGGGGGAGAGGGTGGACAGTGTGAATGCAGTCAAGAAGAGAGTTTCTGAGCAGGGGAGCCACACGGTCAGATTGCTGGGTTCTCATAAGCTGATGGGACAGTGTATAAAGAACAGTTTTAAGGAGGAGAAACAAGAGGCACGCTGGTCAGTTAAAGACCCCTGGAATAGCTCAGTGAGAGAAGACAAAGGGATATGTGAAGGAGCAATGGCAGCAGAAGAAGAGAGGGCTGCAAGAGAAACTTCCATGTTTGAACTGACTAGTAGACAAGTGCATGCATTCCGGAATCTGGCCCTGTGTTCAAATTCTGACTCCACCATTCACTGGGTGTGAGACTTTGGGCAGGTTACATGTCTTTTCTAAGGGTTAATTTCCTCATCTATAAAATAGGAATAATAATAATGATAGCTACCCGCATGGAGTAGTTTCAAGACTTAATGGGGTAATGCATTAAAAATGCTTATACCATCTGGCATATGGTAATTATTGGCTATCATTATTCCTAACTACAAAATGTTGAGGATAAGGAAGACAAAAAGGTTAAAGGCAGCGCATGGCTTTCAATCACTGGTTTTTAATTTTTTTTTTTTTGAGACAGAGTACAGCTCTGTCATCCAGGCTGGAGTGCAGTGGTGTGATTATAGCTCAGGGTAACCTTGAACTCGTGAGGTCCAGTAATCCTCCTGCCTCAGCCTCCCAAAGTGCTGGGATTACAGGCATGAGCCACTGCACCTGCTGTTTTTAATATTCTTTATCTCCATTTTGGTGCTACACTTTCTGACATTCTAAGTGTTCTTGATGTTCTGCTCTTTTGCTGTGATGTGTCTAGATACAGATTTTTAAAATCCTGCTTGGGCCCTTTTATTAATGTGAGAATTCATATTCACTTTCTCCTCCTCAGGATCTTGGTTCCCTCCTTCTGAAATGACTTCATGTCTTTGAACCTTTCTTTTGTATGTTTATCCCTTACAAACCTTTGTTGCATTCTGGGTTATTTCCACAAAAATGAACTTCTCTCTTAATGTTCTTAATCACTAATATGATATGTCATGTTGGTTAGGAACATGGGATCTGGGGCTAGACCACTTGGCTTTTCTACCTAACCATGGGACTTGATCACATTACCTATTCTCTCTGTGCCTCAGTTTCCTCATCTGTGAAATGTGATAGTACTCCCTTCCTTACAGAGTTATTGTAGAGATTAAATGAATGACATATATAAACTTCTAAGAATAATGCCTGGTATGCAGTGAGAGATAAATAAATATTACTGCTTTTTAAAGTTTTTTTTTTTTGTATGTTGTATTTCTGTATTTTGTAGCCTATAATGGGACTGCCTCCCATCTCCTGCTTCCTGGAAGACATTAACAATTAGATACTATAACATGTGTCAAGCACTCAGAGTGGCAAAAAATGGAGAAGCTAGTGCTTCTATTCCCCCAGCATATTTTCATTAAGAATGAAAATATTTACCAGAACAATAAATCAGCAAACATTTAAAATCCCAAAGTCTAGAAGCAGAAGAATTTCCAGGGAAATTTTTACTCAAAGTTATTCTTTCTTTTTCCTCTTTTTCGCGACAGGGTCTCACTCTGTCACCTAGGCTGGAGTGCAGTGAAGTGATCTCAGCTCACTGCAACTTCCACCTCCCGGGTTCAAGCGATTCTCCTGCCTCAGCCTCCTGAGTAGCTGGGATTACAAGCGTGCGCCACCACGCCCAGCTAATTTCTGTATTTTAGTAGAGATGGGGTTTCACCATGTTGGCCAGGTTGGTCTCAAACTCCTGACCTCAAGTGATCCACCCGCTTCAACCTCCTAAAGTGTTGGGATTACAGGCGTGAGTCACCACGCCTGGCGTAGAAAATTATTTTTAAAAACGAGTTTAGAAAGTTGATGCTATTTATGGATTTTAGTAAGGCATAAAATATTTAGTCTAAAAAACTACCATGTTTTATTTTTGTTAAAAATTTGAGGTAGCCAATCCACCATCTTGAATCTTTGTAAAAGCAGGCTTCTGGCTTAGAATGCAAGTAAGTATAACCCAATATGGCCACCTAGTGGTAGTATTCCTAAAGTGCAGGCAACGGAGGTCAGGATGAGCAAATGAAGAGAGGCAACAGACACCAACAGAAATGAAACAGATGGACAGATGATTAAGTTTAGTTCCAAACATGTTGCATTTGTGGCTGTCGGCAAAAGCGTAGTGAACATAATTGATAAGCATTAGGAGACAAGTCATAAGAGCACAGTCCCACTCATGATTGCAGTTTTAAAGTATGCAGAGAGATTACATTTTAAGCTGTAGAGAATGAATGACTATCGCTGGAAAAAAACCAAGTCATAAAAAATTCAGAGACCTCCAACACAGGAAAGACTAGCTTAGAAGATAATCACCTGAGCCACTCTTGCTGAGATTCTACAAAGATCAAGCCCCACAAACTCCACAAGGACACCCAGGTCAGAGCTCTGGAAAGCAAACTTTTAATGCCATTATTCTGTATTATAAAATGTCTTGAAAAATAGACATAAAGTAATTATGATCTGTAGTGATATATTACAGCCACTCAAAAAATGAGCATCCTTTTTCTATGAAAAAACTTTTCACTCAAAGTTGTTATAAATATAGAACAAATTCTTACTTAAAAAAATAAAAACATTTCCCTTTACTTTCCATCTACGTATTGATGACTCTTAAGTATTTTTTACAAACATCACTAACCTGCTTCTTCAACTTTCTTCGGAAGAACTCATACTTTCTTTTATAATCCCTGGAGTACGGCACTGCCTTCAGTTGAAAATTTTGGAAAAATAAAGAAGTTTAGGTTGTTTTTATTCTGGAACAATTTTTAAAGTTCCCTGCTGGGTATTTTATGAATATAAGTTAAGGGCATTAAAAGAAAAATATTGGGAAAGAAAAGTTTAATTAGAAGAAAAACAAATACAAAACTTCAAAATGTTTAATTTCTCTGTTTAAGGTAAAATTGTATTCAGCAGTTCCTATGACTGTAATTTTCATCATGCGATATTCTTAAAATGTAACATGCCAGAAACAGGAAATTTCTTCCAAGTAGAGAAATATAGAAACAAAAAATTTCCATTTCTAAAGAGACTTTCAAAGTGATTTCTCTATTAAAGGAAAAACGTGAGAAGTGTACTTTTTCCTTGAACTCTGGGGAGCTGCCTTTTTTAGCCCTTCTTTTAAAGGACTACATGTTGAGATAGTAAATAGTAATTAAAAAACTATATCTTATTTTTATGAATTAGGAAACATCTGAATAAAAATGGAAAAAGCAGCTATAAAGAATGATAAAAATTATCCTATCCATCTGACTCAAGAGTAGTACAATTATCATACACAGCAATAATTAAATGTGGATGTGTCTTTCATACAGGCATTTACAATTTTTTTTTTAGATAGAGTCTCACTCTGTCACCCAGGTTGGAGTGTGGTGGGGCAATCTCAGCTCACTGCAACCTCCGCCTCCTGGGTTCAAGTGATTCTCTGGTCTCAGCCTCTCAAGTAGCTGGGACTACAGGTGCCTGCCAACAAGCCCAGCAATTTTTTTTTTTTTTGCATTTTTAGTAGAGAGAAGGTTTCACCACATTGGCCAGGCTGGTCTCGAACTCCTGACCTCAGGTGACCCACCTGCTTTGGCCTCCCAAAATGCTGGGGTTACAGGCATGAGCTGGGCCCGATTTCTAACAAAAAGTTTAAGAATGACCCTAGAGTGGATAGGGTGCTGCTGCGTCCTCATCCAGATACACTCTCTGCTCCTCTCTGATTTGTGGAGGACTGTCATCATTTTTGTTCAGATAGCGGCAGGCACCAGACAGAGCTCAGCAGCCCACACTGCCTTACCATTCTGACTGTCTGGCTCACTTGTCTCCCGCAGTTACTGCACAGGGTAAGGGTAATGACGTTATAGAATCTTTTCAAATAACGGAGACTTGGAGTATGGGAAATAGGGGAGAGGAGAGAATGGCCAATGTGCTCTCCTCTCAATGCCTGTAGGATTATGCCCTTGACTATCTGCTCTTGAAGAGACAGGTGAGAGGACAGTCCCATCAGAGCACACTGGTACAAAGAGACTTACTGGTCCAGTTATTGCTACATTCTGCAACCGAGGATCTTCCCATTGTGTTCTTTTTATATCTGAAGGGTAGAAAAAGAAAAAAGATGCTCTTTCTCACATATAAAATTTATTATAAAAAATAACATAATGAAAAATCACATTGAACATACTGTGATTTATGTAGAAGATTCTTCCATCTGTGTGAGTTCTCTCTTCCCATCCTGGCTATAATGAAGAATGTATTTCAATTATTTTAGGATAGGGTTTTAGATGTATGGATAGAAAAATAGCACTGATTGTATGGTTAATTTAAATTGCATATTCCATTCCATTCTTAGAAGGTATCAACATTTTAATAATAAGATTAATTAGGCTGATAAAGAACTACTCTATCCCAAAATACAAAATATTTGAGATAGCCAAGTAAGAGAGGTTAGCATTTCTATACACTTACAGGTAAAGGCCCGAGATCACTGGAAGTATCAAGTGCTGTCTTTCCTCTCAGATGGGCTGGAATTTTCAATCTTGGATCTTCCTTTTGTGGTAGAGTAAATAAAGAACAACACACACACATTTCAAAATAATGAAAGTCAGTCTATTACCATGTTTTCCAATATCAATGGACGTTTGAAATATTCTCTTGTAAAAGTCCTTTCGTGTTTTATTTCCTAAATATGTGACATAATATTTTCTCCTGAAATCTATCACTCTCAGGCTATAATATCAAAAGGAATAAGGATCAGTTCTCAGGGATCACCGCTAACTGGTCACCTCTTTGCCTGCTCTTTAGGAAATGTGTCACTCTATAGGGGTTTTCTCTACGTAAAAACTGGTAAAAGAGTGGGGCATTAAATTGGACCACGTGATATTTCTAAGTCCCAGAACATGCATTTTGGCAGCTATCTGTTCAAGTTGATTCATATTTTTGAATAACAGGAAGGTAAGCCCAAAGAGGTTATTAATGGTCAATTCAGAATGTTAAAAATGTGAACAAAATTCAATGTATTTGGTTTAATTTACATATATTTTTACTTTAATATTATTAATAAGGTGTGCTGGTCTTTTAATAATTAATTAAAATTTATTCATCTGCTGCTAATTTTGAGCAATTTTTCTAGTGGTAAGCCAAGCACTAAACAACTTGAAGCCTTACCTTAAAAAAAAAACTTGCTCTACCTAGCCTCGCAAGGTTTTCTGATATTGAGATATGGATTCAAAAGTTTTTTGGAGCTAGAAAGCCTCATATAAAAGCAAAGGATTATTCCTACATATCTTCCTAAGCATTTATGGCTAGTGGGCTAACAACTGGAAACAGGAAGTAAACATGAGTATCTCCATCATAATCCAAAACAATATTAAAAAGAGGGGTAAGTGTGTTCCTGAATATAAATAATATTATTAAGAATTCAATATATTTTTCAATGAATCCTAGAAAACATAGGTTATACTAATATACACTTAAAGATGATAAGGAACTATACATAAGAGATGATTATTGTTGTTATAAATTTAAATGGAAGAGTATCAGAGTTACCCAGGTGGTGGTTTTAGTGTTGTGGTCAATAAAGAAAGGCCTCCCATTTGGTGCATGCCGGACTTCCCAGCCTTTAGGAAGGAATCCTTGCTCAGTTTCAGACGGCTGGGTCACCTGCTGGCCTGAATCACTTGTGGAAGCTTGTGACTGAGGGCCAGCAGAACTCTGGCTTGATGTCAGCTGACTGGTCTCCACTGTGGCCTAGCATATTTATGAAATCATATTATAATATTTTATAGAGAACTCACAAATAGCAGCAGTTAAAAAGGTAACTTAACCTGCAAATGCAATACACATCCTCCTTTAAAGAGACTCTAAACATTTGAGGTTCTTTTTCAAATGTAGTTATGGCATATTAATATTTTCCCAACATTTTAATAATGCAGTACATTTAATAACATTTTTCCAATAAGCTATTTTGTCAAACTTGATTTTAATAATAATTTATAATTTCTCAACTAATTCTCAAGCAGTGAGATAGCAGTTAACAGTCTGCTGTGGGTGCATCTGACTGAGGGAGCAAGGTCCACAAGCTCAAGCCCTAGCTGCAAGTGGAGTTATGGTGCCTATAGTAGGAGGTTGTCTTTATTCTCCCAAAACTTATAGGATGGGGGGTTCCTCATACAGAGAAGTAGATTCAAATGTCAGGCAGACAAAATGAATGACAAATATCTACCACAGAAGTCGAAATTGAAATGTAATATAGTCATATGATGGAATATTAGTAGTTAAGAGAAATACACTGCATCTATAAATAACAACACAGAGCTTTAAAACAGTGTTAAGCAAAAAAAGATGTAGACTTATGGGGCCACAACATCAATTAAAAAAAGGGTTTTTTTTAATCGAGCAGCACCTCATTCTATAAAATGAGTGTTCCCTCGTTGCAAAATTAGAAACACAGGCATATAAACAATATTTTACTTTTTTTTTTTGAGATGGAGTCTCACTGTGTTGTCCAGGCTGGAGTGCAATGGTGCAGTCTCTGCTCACTGCAACCTGTGACTCCTGGGTTCAAGCAATTCTCTTGCCTCAGCCTCCCGAGTAGCTGGGATCCAGGCACGTGCCACCACAACCAGCTAATTTTTATATTTTTAGTAGAGACAGGGTTTCACCATGTTGGTCAGGCTGGCCTCGAATTCCTGACCTTGTGATCTGCCCACCTCACCCTCCCAAAGTGCTGGGATTATGGGTGTGAGCCACTGCACCCAGCATATTTTAATTTACATTTTCTAAGCTCTTTAAGTATATAAAATATGCTAGAAGAATACACAACAAATTCAAGACTGTGGTTCCCCCTGGGGAACGGAAACAAGAGCTTGGCTAAAAGAAATTTAGGTTAATCTTTAAGACTTTATTTTATTTTATTTTATTTTGAGATGGAGTTTTGCTCATTACCCAGGCTGGAGTGCAATGGCACTATCTCGGCTCACCGCAACCTCCGCCTCCTGGATTCAGGCAATTCTCCTGCCTCAGCCTCCTGAGTAGCTGGAATTACAGGCACACACCACCATGCCCAGCTAATTTTTTGTATTTTTAGTAGAGATGGGGTTTCACCATGTTGACCAGGATGGTCTCGATCTCTTGACCTCGTGATCCACTCGCCTCGGCCTCCCAAAGTGCTGGGATTACAGACTTGAGCCACTGCACCCGGCCAAGACTTTATTTTTAAAAATAAAATTTCTAGGAATTAATATGGTAACTTATTAATGATGGTAATTCTGAATAAAGAATATGTGTATCTGCTACATTATCTTCTAGACTTTTCAGTGTTAAAAATTTTCTCAACAAGAGATATGGCAACAAGAGAAAATAAATATTTTGCTAAACACTTAAAAGGAACTATTACAGGTGAAACTGTTGCCAAGGGTGAGGTGTTATCAGCATTAATTTCTTTAATAGATACCAATCACCAAGATTATGTTTTAGTTAAAATAATGATCTTAACTATTCAAATTATAAAAATACACAAAGACCAGATTTTTGCTTTTTCCTCTTATTCTCATTTGAACTTGTTTTATATAATAACAAGTGGTAATTTGTATATATTAGAGAGTCACAGGAAATGGCGGACACTTAGCATCAGTGTCAGAAAATAAATAATTAGAAGATGTTACAGTCAGGCACAGTGGCTCATGCCTGTAATCCCAGCACTTTGGGAGGCCAAGATGGGTGGATCACCTGAGGTCAGGAGATTGAGATCAGTCTGGCCAACATGGTGAAACCCTCTTTCTACTGAAAACACAAAACTTAGCCGGGCATGTGGCGCATGTCTGTAATCCCAGCTACTCTGGAGGCTGAGGCAGGAGAATCGCTTGAACCAAGGAGGTACAGGTGCAGTGAGCTAAGATTGCACCATTGCGCTCCAGTCTAGGCGACAAGAGTGAGACTCCATCTCAAGAAAAAAAAAAAAAAGAGATGCTAGAAGTATCCAGTATATACTATAAAGTGATGTAATAGTTGACGTAGGGATGTGACAGTTTAAACCCTGTAAGAAAGTAAATTAATAGGTTGCAGGGTACCTGTACAGTGGGCTTTGTCCAAGTAGTTGTTCTGGAATTGTGATCTACATAATATGACCTTCCTCTTTCATCCTGTTTTTCTTCCCAACCTGGTGGTAATCCAGATGAAGTAGGCAAAAGCTAAAGTGAAGAATAACAGAAGAATTAAATATATCAAATTTAAGAATCCTTCTATTACCCCCAAAAGTTCCCTCAATCCCCTTGCCTACTCTCAGCTCAAGCAACCACTCATCTGCTCTCTGTTGCTAGTTTTGCCTTTTTTAGAAATATATCTATGTTGAGAGAGAGAGAGAGAGAGAGAAACAGAGAGAGACAGAGTCTTGCTCTATTGCCCAGGCTGCAGTGCTGTGGTATGATCTCGGCTCACTGCAACCTCTGCCTCCTAGGTTCAAGCAATTCAAGTGCCTCAGACTCCTGAGTAGCTGGGAGCACAGGCATGCGCCAACATACCCAGCTAATTTTTTTTAATTTTTAGTATTGACAGGGTTTTGCCATGTTGGCCAGGCTGGTCTTGAACTCCTGGCCTCAAGTGATCCACCTGCTTTGGCCTCCCAAAGTGCTGAGATTACAGGCATGAGCCACCATGCCTGGCCAGAAGAATTAAATATTAATAAGAAAGAATCCTTTGAAAAGCACTACATCCATTCTTCACTACTTGCTCGCTTTAAAACAAATCATGTTTCATTTTATTGAACTAAAACCAAGTATTGTAATGAATAATGGGTAAATTATACATCTTAATTTAGTGAAATAAGCCATATTTTAAATATTTTAAAGTGTGCAAAATAAAGTGTACAGCATTTCACTTGGGGGAAAAAAACCACTAGAACCAACAATAATGAGAGTGATAACAACCCTAATAAAATATGCCAACAATAACAAGCACATGCTAAGTGTTTAACACGGATGTCATTTTCTTCCCACCTGAATTTTAATGAGATGATTGCTAATATTGGCCCATTTTACTTGTGAGTAAACAGAAGCTTAAAATATGGAAGTAACTTGTTACTACCCTTGATCTTAGCCAAAATGCCAAGAAGTCATGGAAGTAACTTGTTAAGCGACATTGCTTATAAGGAATGGAGCTGAGATCTGAACCCAGGTAATTTAGCAGCAGAAATCATACTTACCTGCTGCATCAGCAGTTACCCATGCTTTGTTTCTCTAAAAGCTAGGAGATGCTATTTATCACAGTTTGTTACAATTGGATAAAGAGAGGTCTGATTATTTCTAGGTTTACTTAAAATAGTTCTAAATCCAGGCTGGGTGCAATGGCTTACCCCTGTAACCCCAGCACTTTGTGAGGCTGAGGTAGGCAGATCATGTGAGGTCAGGAGGTCGAGGCCAGCCTGACCAAAATGGTGAAACCTCATCTCTACTAAAAATACAAAAAAAAATTAGCTGAGCATGGTAGCGGGCACCTGAAATCCCAGCTATTCAGGAGGTTGAGATAGGAGAATTGCTTTAACCCTAAAGGCAGAAGTTATGGTGAGCCGAGATTGCACTATTGCACTCTAGCCTCAGCAGCAAGAGCGAAACTTCATCTCAAAAAAACAAAAATCAGCCGGGCATGGTGGTGGGCACCTGTAGTCCCAGCTACTCTGGAGGCTGAGGCAGGAGACTGGCTTGAAGCCAGGAGGCGGAGGTTGTAGTGAGCCAAGATGGTGCCACTGCACTCCAGCCTGGCGACAGAGCAAGATTCCTTCTCCAAAAAGAAAAGAAAAAAAAGAAAAGAAAAGAGTCCTAAATGTGGCCATCCTATTGTCATTTGAACCAGATTAACCCTAGTTTGGTGTGGCTCCCTAAGGTGGCTTACAACATAAGAACCATCACTACCAGTCTCCACAGCAAAGACCCTGCTTACTAGATACACAGGAGCTCTATTTACGTTGCTGGCAGTTGTGATGAGCTGTTAGAACATAAAACGATGGATTGAAATGCTGTCTAGTTCTATAAATGTCTATCCGCTGGTGAATAGATAAATGTAGTGGATATATCTCTACAATGGAACATCATGCACTAATATAGGCATGCAATAACATAGATCTATCTGAAAAACAGCATACTAAGTGAAAGAGAGTGGACACAAAAGCCTGCACCCGGTTGGGCGTGGTGGCTCAAGCCTGTAATCCCAGCACTTTGGGAGGCCGAGGCGGGTGGATCACGAGGTCGAGAGGTTGAGAGATTGAGACCATCCTGGCCAAAATGGCGAAACCGTGTCTCTACTAAAAATACAAAAAATTAGCTGGGCATGGTGGTGCGTGCCTGTAATCCCAGCTACTCAGGAGGCTGAGGCAGGAGAATTGCCTGAACCCAGGAGGCGGAGGTTGCGGTGAGCCGAGATCGCGCCATTGCACTCCAGCCTGGGTAACAAGAGCGAAACTCCGTCTCAAAAAAAAAAAAAAAAAAAAGAGCCTACACCCTACGACTCCCTTTACGTGAGATTTGTAAAAAAGGCAAAACTACAGCGATAGAGAGCAGATGAGTGGCTGCTTGGGACTAAAAGTAGGCATAGGGATTGAGGGAACTTTTGGGATAGAAGGTTTTTAAACTTGATTGTGGTGATGTCTGCTTAACTGTATAAATTTACAAAAACTATTAATTTGTATGATAAAAAGTGGGTGGATGTTATGGTATGTAAATTATACTCCAAGAAAACTCTTTTTTTTGAGACGGAGTTTCGCTCTTGTTACCCAGGCTGGAGTGCAATGGCGCGATCTCGGCTCACCGCAACCTCCGCGTCCTAGGTTCAAGCAATTCTCCCGCCTCAGCCTCCTGAGTAGCTGGGATTACAGGCACGCACCACCGTGCCCAGCTAATTTTTTGTATTTTTAGTAGAGACGGTGTTTCACCATGTTGACCAGGATGGTCTCGATCTCTTGACCTTGTGATCCACCTGCCTCGGCCTCCCAAAGCGCTGGGATTACAGGCTTGAGCCACCGCGCCTGGCCGAAAACTCTTAAAAAAACAAAATCAATGTACTGAGGAAAAAAAGGCATGGAAACTACTTTTCTGGCACATAAAATATAAATCATCTTGCGATTCTGCTGCTCACCTGGTGCACCCAAAGTTGTGTCTTGGGTAAACGTCTGTGAGTCAGTGAGAACTTCCACATATGCATTGTATAGAGGACATTATAAGGTGAAGTGGGAAAAATACCATGGAACTCAGCTTGAGCGGGCTCTGATCTAACGGAGGAGGCTAGACAGGTGGCAGTGAGCAAGAGCAAGGCTGGCAAGGGTAGTCTTTCAATGGCATCTGTCCTCTTGTTGATGGTCAGTACTGACTAGGGCAATGGATGCATAGGTGGGTCACCCTCATTCCTCGGCACAGGATCTGTGTCCTTCTCTTAGTGCAGGGTGTTATTTAGACAGGTAAACCACTTGTGGGCTCTGGATTTTGGAGCCTCTGCATTCCTGTGCTAGAACACAACACTACTTTTTAAAGCTATCTAGACTTCCATTCAAAATTCCAGATGGTTGGGGAAGAAAATGAGAAAGCCATTCCAAGTGGGGAAATGGAAAGCACACAAAATCAGAAGAGGGAGAGAATCAGGACATGGGAACAGTCTCCTTGGAAGAAAAAGCATAGACAGGAATGAAAGCAGCAGGAGGCTTCTGTTGGGGGATAAGGAGGGGTAAGCTGAAGAGGGTGGGAGCCTGGGAGTTTTGCTCTGGTTTAAAAAACAAGCAGAGTGAGCTGGGCCTGGTGGGTCAGGCCTATAATCTCAGTACTTTGGGAGGCCAACGTGGGCAGATCATGAGGTCAGGAGATTGAGACCATCCTGGCCCACATGGTGAAACCCCTTCTCTACTAAAATACAAATACTAGCCAGGTGTGGTGGCATGCACCTGTAGTCCAAGCTACTGGGAAGGCTGAGGCCGGGGAATTCCTTGAACGTGGGAGGTGGAGGTTGCAGTGAGCGGAGATCGCGCCACTGCACTCCAGCCTGGCAACAGAGTGAGACTCCAGCTCAAAAAATAATAATTGAAAAATACAAATAAAATAATAAGCGATAAATAAATAAATAACAAGTAGGATCTCTGGAAAAGAGAGAGAAACTCAGAGTAGCGAGGCTTGTATCACGAAGCAGATGGAGGCAAGGTTAAGGTCCAAGCTGCCACCTAGGCTGTGGCTGGGAACAGCACTGAGCAGGAAGCAGAGGCCTGAGTAGACTGACGGATTCGATACCTCAGGGAAGAAACAGACCAGGGACTGATAAGCTCCAACCTGGCTGCTGGGTGTGTCAATGCCAATGGACACCTGAGTGATGAAACCCTGGCTATGCTTCGGGTGCAGGGCAGACATGGCTGCTGGATGCCGTGTGCATGAGCAGAGCATCAACAGCTGGACACAATGATCCTGAATTGCAAGCTGCATGCAGCGACCACCTCTAGGCAGTACAGTGCTTCAACCAAGCCCAGGTACCACCCACAGTCACTGGCATGCAGAGACTTTGCTTTTAACATGGGTGGGACAGTTTTGCATGTTTTTCCTTTAAGGCCCTTCCATGAACATCACCACCTGGGGCCTAGATTCTGGGATGTACGGGTTCCCTGTAAGGCAAGTGTTCACACTCAGTCTTCCAATAAAAAGAGAGGCTGAATTATATATTTTTTATTAATTGATGGAAGAGGGTAAAACTCACCACAGGAAGTGTAGGTTGTTCCTCAAAAGTATAGGCTTGTAAGCTGCCTCTTCTGCTGGAATGATTCTTGTAAAAAACAAGACAACAGAATAAGTATACCTTGAGATTTGTGATTTGCCTTTGAGTGTCAGCTAAGGTAGTGAGGGTAATAAGTATGACAGGGCAGAAGAGAGAAGGCTGGCTAAGACGCAACTGTTGAGACTGCAGGCTGAGGCACCTGGTCACTCTCAGCCCCCTAGGTGGACAACTTCACATATCCAGCTACCACACCCTCAGTGCTGGACCGCCTCCTGGACACCTTCTCTTGAATGTCTTAACAGAAATCATTCTTAAATACACTCCCTCTACACTTTAGTTCTAGTTTTTTGTTTTTTGTTTTGAGATGGAGTCTCGCTCTATTGCTCAGCCTGAAGTGCAGTGGTGTGATCTTGGCTCATGCAACTTCCACTTCTGGGTTAAAGCAATTCTTCTGCCTCAGCCTCCTGAGTAGCTGGGACTACAGGTGCATGCTACCATGCCTGGCTAATTTTTGGATTTTTAGTAGAGATGGGGTTTCAGCGTATTGACCAGGTTGGTCTCGAACTCCTGACCTCGTGATCCACCCACCTCAGCCTTCCAAAGTGCTAGGATTACAGGTGTGAGCCACTGCATTTGGCCCGTAGTTCTAGTTTTAGTTTTAACTTCAAGTTTTCACCTTTTGTCACTTTCATGACAATGACAGCAATATCCTAAGAGGTTTCTCTGTTGCAAGTCTTACTTCCTTAAGTCCACTCTCCATGCTGCACGCTTCAGGTTCAGAGCATCCTGCACTGCACAGCCAGTCCTGTCCTGGAGCTGAACCCCATGACAGCACAGAAAACAATGTTTCCTGAGCACCACGACCTGCCTCTTCCTGACTTCTTCAGCTACTTCCCACTTTGCAATCTACCCGTTGGACATTCCGGCCTACTTGTTTCCTGGAAATCTCATGTTCTTCTCTTCCTTATGTTTGTATATATATTTTATATATATATGTATTGTATACATACATATAAAATATATATTTTATATACAATACATATATATTGTATGTATACGTATGTTTGTATACATAAATGCATGTATGTACATGCTATTATCACTGTCTAAAATATCTTAGTTTTGTTATTTAATGACATCAAAATGTATAATGAACATAGAAATTAAATAAGATCTACTGTAGTTCTGTTTATACTAGTACTGTAAACAATCTAAAGTCTTTGAATAGAAGACTGGTGAGATAACTTAAGGGTTACTTGTACAATGGAATATGCTAGAGTTTAATGATCTTTTTAATTGGTTTTTAAAGGAGTACATCTATACATACTGAAATGGTTCAGTGTCTAAGAGACAGCAAGTGAAAAAAGCAAGTTACCAAAAAGTATATTTAAGATGATCGTAGGTTCAAAAATCACCTACAAATATGTGTGTATGTATGCATGTTTACGAATATATAGAAACAGTGTCTATATAGGTATGCAAATTATTTATCACCAGCAAATCAATATCATGTACTCTTTAGGTCTTTGACCACTAACAGTGACTGAGGGAGCATACATTAGGGTAATATGGAAGATTTAATTTTATTTATTTATTTATTCATTTAATTTTTTTGAGACAGAGTCTTACTCTGTTGCCCAGGCTGGAGTGCAATGGCATGATACTGGCTCAGTGCAACCTCCACCTCCTGGGTTCAAGCAATTCTCCTGCCTCAGCCTCCTGAGTAGCTGAGATTACAGGCACACGCCACCACACTCAGCTAATTTTTGTATTTTTAGTATAGACGAGGTTCTGCCATATTGGCCAGGATGGTCGAACTCCTGATCTCAAGTGATCTGCTTGCCTTGGCCTCCCAAAGTGCTGGGATTACAGGCATGAGCCATAATGCCTGGTCTTGTTTTATTTTATATACCTAAATACAATTTCAATTTGTAACCATAACCATACAGTGCTTTAAAAATATTTTTTAAAATAGGTAACACTCATACATGTTATAAAATTCAAAAGGAACCTGGGTAACAATACTAAGTCTCTACAAATTACTATTTTTTAAATTACTGGGAGTACAATGGCATGTGCCTGTATTGCCAGCCACTCCAGAGGCTGAGATAAGAGAATCCCTTGAACCCAGAAGTTTGAGGTTGCAGTGAGCTATGATAATGCTCCTGCCTTCCAGCCCGGGCGACAGAGTGAGACCCTATATCAAAAACACAAAAGGTACAAGCAATACATATCCTGTTCATTCTCTGCCTCTCTTCACAGGCAAGCAACATTACTAGTTTCCTGTTCGGTCCTTGAGTAATATACATTCCTAGCATACCAAACACATTGTTCTGTACCTTGCTGTTTTTCATTTACCAGAATCTCTTAGGGATTGTTCCATCTGACATATACAGTCAAGCCCACCTTGTTCTTTTCAGTGGCTACCTAGTATTACACTGTATGGGTGCCGTGTATGACTATAAGTAAAAAAAATACCAGGAGGAAAGGGAATGGGATCGCATGTGATTTGTTACCAGCAAATAAATACAGTTTATTCTTTTTTTTCTCGAGACAGAGTTTCTCTGTCGCCCAAGCTGGAGTGCAATGGCGTGATCCCGGCTCACTGCAACCTCTGCCTCCTGGGTTCGAACAATTCTTCCAGCTCAGTCTCCCGAGCAGCTGGGATTAAAGGCATGTACCACCACACCCAGCTAATTTTTGCATTTTTAGTAGTGATAAGGTTTTGCCATGTTGCCCAGGCTGGTTTGAACTCCTGACCTCAAGCCATCTGCCCACCTTGGCCTCCCAAAGTGATGGGATTACAGGCATGAGCCATCGTGCCTGGCCTAATATAGTTTATCCTTTAGGTCTTTGACTGACCAGAACCACATCCCGATGAAAAAATGAAATGAATGGAAGACAGGACAGACAAATGGAAGAAAGGAAGGGCAGGAGGTAGGCAGGTGCATGTACTCGCAGATATTCATATTCACGTACAACTATCTACAGTGAAGCTTCTTGAAGAAGATGCTAGAGCAGAAGTTAGCAAACATTTCCTGTTAAGGTCCAGACAGTAAACACTGGCTGTGGGCCATATGGTTGCTGCCGTAACTACTCAAAATTCAGATGATGTAGTGTGAAAGCAGTGATGGGTAATACCTAAACAAATGATGTACCCATATTCCAACAGCATATTATTCATAACAGGCAGATGCTGATTTGGCCCACTCGTTGTAGTTTGCTTGCCTCTGCACTAGAATATAAGTCACATGAAGGCAGGAGATACTGTTAATCTTAGTTACTGACATATCCCCAGTAACTAGCATATAGTACCTTGCGTATATGTGATCAGCGCTCAATAAATACTAACTGAATGAAAGGCAGGGTAACCTCAACTGGAAATGACAAATAGCATCCTCAGAGAATAATTTTTGTCTTCTACTGAATCTCCCTTGATGATACAGACTGTACAGCTATCCATGAAGTTCTCACCGTGGAAGCATGTGCTGGAATACTTTATTCTGAACCCTATGGAAAGCAGTTTTTACAGTGGTGGCTGAAGTGAAAATGTCATCTACCTCCTTATTTAGTCAAAGTACATCAGTTCTTATTCATATATACCTGTTGGTGACATCTGTGATATAATGTTAAAACTTCAGGCCAGATGCAGTGGCTCATGCCTGTAATCCCAGCACTTTGGGAGTCTGAGGCGGGTGGATCGCTTGAGGCCAGGAGTTTAAGACCAGCCTGGCCAACACGGTGAAGCTCTGTCTCTACTAAAAACACAAAAATTAACTGAGTGTAGTGGTGTGTGTCTGTAATCCCAGCTATTTAGGAGGCTGAGGCACAAGAATTGCTTGAACCCAGGAGGTGGAGTTTGCAGTGAGCTGAGACAGCACAACTGCATTCCCATCTAGGTGACAGAGTGAGATGTTTCAAAACAAAAAAAAGAAAGAAAGAAAAGAAAAACCAACTTCAGCATAAACTGAGAGAGAGAAAAGCAGTCCCTAACATCCAAGAGCTGGTCTGGCACTTGTAGGTAAGATCAAGACAAAATCAAGACCACTCTGTAATCATGGCTGAATATAGACAAAACATGAACATTGTCCAAGCCACCAAATACCAAACATTTCCCTATCCTGGCAAACGTGAGAGACTGTTCTACTTTGCTAATCACAGCTTTAGCCTCACTACAGGGAAGATTTGATACAAAGTCACACAATTATCCCTGCTTCCTGACAGCATCTGGTGTAGAGCAAAGTTCTGCTTCCTAAAACCCTCTTCGAAATCACCTAACATCAGCCCAAATCTTTTAAGTCTTTTTTTTTTTTTTGAGACAGAGTTTCGCTCGTTACCCAGGCTGGAGTGCAATGGTGCAATCTTGGCTCACCACAACCTCCGCCTCCTGGGTTCAGGCAATTCTCCTGCCTCAGCATCCTGAGTAGCTGGGATTACAGGCATGCGCCACCATGCCCAGTTAATTTTTTTTGTATTTTTAGTAGAGATGGGGTTTCACCATGTTGACCAGGATGGTCTTGATCTCTTGACCTCCTGATCCACCCGCCTCGGCCTCCCAAAGTGCTGGGATTACAGGCGTGAGCCACCGTGCCCGGCTCTTTTAAGTCTTTTCTAACATTCTGTTATCAAAATACCAATGGTGTGTGTTCTCCTTTGCTGAAACGAATAACAAACCCAACTTGTTTAATGACAAATGTGTCCCTAGTGATTTCTGACTGGAGGGCACTGACATAATGGAAATTTGGATGCCTTGATGCTGGTCCATAATATTAATGGAGATATTTGAAAAATGACCATGCTGTAAAGTCCTAAGGTCCCTGACATATTATTGCATTTAAGACAAAATTTTACATAAAAGTTAGTTGTTGAATGGTATATTATACATAATATAAAATACTGAAACCATAAAAAACTCTTAAGAGCATCTTACTGAGCTGGACACTGGCTGGCTTGTGGCTGAATTTCCAAAGATGGTGAGCCTGGCATTTAATTCTTCTGCAAGGTGAGCTGGAACATCCAAGTTACTTGATGGTGGAGGTGATGGGAAGGCCTGGCTGCTATACATGGTGGCTTCATCTTCTCTTATAATTTCCCAGTTCTAAAATGAACAGAATAAGCTTGAGCCACACATACTTTAATCTATTGCTATAGCATGTGTCTATCAAGGAGAACTAGGAAACCACTTATACCTCGGAAGACTCTCGGTTGTCAACACTTTCTGTTTCCTCGGATATTTGCCGCCTGGTGGTAAATGCACGCTGTGCTTGCAGTTGAATGCTGCCATTCTCAGCATCTGTTAGGTTGTCCCTAAATTGGAAGTATAAAAAGCCATCATCTATGTCTTAAGTAGTTAAAATGATTGTCAAAGATTCTGTGATCATTGAAAAAAAATCTACATGACATCAATAAAAAAATTTATTGTTTTTGACCAAAGGCCAAAATGAGAGAGCTTCACAGATTATTTCATTATGTTATTTTGCCATGTTATTACAAAAGTAATAGAGTTACATATACATTTTGTGAATCAGATAGTACCTTTTCTAGAAGTGGTCTTAAGCCAGGAGTAGAGTATTCCATGCACCAATGTGATGGGCAGAATGAAAGAAGTTTTTTTTATAATTAAAAGCTTAATGATTTATGAATCACATATCTATTAGAAATGGTATCTGTTTTTGGTTAACATACAGTCACAAGCCTAAAAAAGTTAACAGTAAAGATTTGTTTAGCATAGGAGAGGTACAATAAATCCAACTGGATGGTTAATGAGGATTACAAAAATAGAAAGAATGAATAAGACCTAGCATTTGATAGCATAACAGGTGACTACAGTCAATAATAATTTAATTTTACGTTTAAAAAGAACCAGAAGACTATAATTGGATTGTTTGTAAGAAAAAGGATAAATGCTTGAGGGGATGGATACCCCATTTTACATGATGTGATTGTTATGTCTTGCGTGCCTGTATCAAAACATCTCAGGTACCCCATAAATATATATACCTACTAGGGACCCACAAAAACTAAAATAAAAAAAATCAGATTGAACACCCTTGAATATAAATAGAATAATTTATATTATTCTAGTTATTTGCATTTACTATAACCAGACTATCAGATCAAAAATTTTGTTCAAATATTTAATAATAAAATTATTGTTAATTTATTTAATGCCACATGAGCCCATGCTAGTCAGAAGACCAGCTCTGACTGTACTGCAGCTGAAGAAAGCATAATTTTGACACCTGGTTCTAAGGGAAGCTTCGTTTTTTTTCCCACTAAATATCTGATTTTGGCTAACTGAAAATGACATCAGCCACAGTGAAAGAAATGTGATTCTGCTCAAGTAAGGCTTGCCATAATGCTGAGGTATGCGACAGGGCAACTCTGCAGAATTTCCTAGTGTCTTCAGCTTTGTAGTCTGTATGTCACTCTGTGAGATTGATGCTTCTGTGCCATTAAGTACGTGAACTGCTGATTTGTTTTAAAAGGATTTGAGAACAGACAATGTCTATGAAAGTGCTTGGCATATATCAGATACAAAATATCAAAGCCAAAAATTAGGAGGCTAATGAACACATTAAAAATTACAAGTTTGTTTCAAACATAAGACTAAAGGAAGATTTCGTAAGACTCTATGGAAGGGGATTTGAGAATAAATATGAATAATGGGAGATTTCATAAGTGTATATACAGTCATGATAATAAAAGAAAAATATCACTGAGGAGACATAAGTTAGAATATGTGATCTGTGAATGCTGGAAGTTATGTGGACATTGAACAGACTATAAATAGACGTTTAATAAAAGACCCTTATTATTGAGTCCTTTATATTTTATAAATAATTTATATTTAAAAATAGAGTACTGTAGAAATTAGCATTTTATTATACTTTAATAACAAACTACAAAAATTCTTCAAGACTTCTAATTCAGCCTAAGAAGACAAATGTATCATTTGTGGCTACATAACAATTAAAAGCATATTAAAATTAAGAGGCAATTAAAAGGGTGGTATCTATAAATCAAGTATTATTAACTCATTAAAAAAAAAAAAAGAAACAGCAGAGTTAGGGCTTTTTAAGTCCTGGGCCATAAAAATCCTAGTATTCTTATAGTTTATGCATCACTGTACTGTTATGAATCCATCTGAGACATGACTTCAAAGTGAAAATTAGTAAAGTATTTCCAGATCAAAATTGTAAAAGCCATCAGCACATACTGAGGGGTTGGTCTTTTCCACTGTGTTCTTCTAGATTCATGGTTTACATAGTAGGTCCTTCCAAGGATATCCTGCCTCTCTTCCCACCCTGGAGGTAGAGGAGAAGGTTCTTGTTGTTGCTGCATATGGCAAGCAGCATCTGGTTGGTCCAAAACAACCCAGCCAGGCTGAAAAACAGGGTTGTAGCCATTAAGTTTATGCTTGATTTTTTTAACCTTATAAATTATATGCTAAAGGAAATTTAAAGAGATTTTTTATATCAAGTTCTAGAAATTATGCATAGACAGAATTAACAATCCTCAACTTTTAAGACCATAATATAAATATTTTGCCGGGCGCGGTGGCTCAAGCCTGTAATCCCAGCACTTTGGGAGGCCGAGGCGGGTGGATCACGAGGTCAAATGATCGAGACCATCTGGCTCAAAATGGTGAAACCCCGTCTCTACTAAAGATACAAAAAATTAGCTGGGCATGGTGGCGCATGCCTGTAATTCCAGCTACTCAGGAGGCTGAGGCAGGAGAATTGCCTGAACCCAGGAGGCGGAGGTTGCGGTGAGCCGAGATTGCGCCATTGCACTCCAGCCTGGGTGACAAGAGTGAAACTACGTCTCAAAATAAATAAATAAATAAATAAATAAATAAATATTTTATAATGAAGACCTTTTTTGCAAAAATGATAACCATTTAATTTTTGTTTGAAATTGTCCAAAAATTTTTCCAAAAAAACGTTTAAAGGCAAACGCCTATAAAGTTTCCACCAGGTTCTGCCTGGGTGACAGAACCAGACCCTGTCTCAAGATGGAACAACAATAAACCAAAACTTTGAAACAAATCTATTTAAAATTTTCCTAACAAAAAATAAAAGTAAGGTGACAGATTTAATTTGCCTGATTTAATCATTCTGTATCGCAAACACATCAAAATATCACATTGTCCTCTATAAATATATACAATTACTGTTTGTCCATCAAAAATGAAATTTAAAAAATCTAATAAAATAAAGGACAAAAAAATCTTTTAAATAAACAATAGTGGAAAGTTGGAAATAAAAAACACGGAGAAATTGAGAAGTACAGTTTAAGTTACTGGTATAATCTTAGGCTATTCTCTAAATTATAAACTGAATGACAGGCAAGGATTATGTGTTATTGGCCATTGTCTTTACCACAGAGAAAGCACATTGCTTATGGTAGAAATCAATAACTATCTGAGATATAGAAAAATTATTAGATAAAGGTCAAATACATAGACAGGCAAGATAGGGAAGGGTAAATGATTTTGAAATAATTGCTACAGTGAACTCTCTAGTGATGGAAAAGTCACTGTGATTCCCTTGTCCGATTTTCTCTCTTTCTCCTCTGGACCGAGGCAAGCCATTTTAGTCAAGCCATAAAACAGCCAAATAAATATTTTTTTAAAATGCACTGGAAGTTTGGTTTCTCAGAGATTAACAAGAGGCAAAATTAACACAAAGCCTTAATTAAGCCTAAAGTAAGGAACTGGTAGAAAAGAGTAGCAAGAATTAATGCTTTTAATATGGGAAACCTCATAAAAGAAAAGGCAGTAGGTAAAAGATTTTATTAAATACTGACTGGTTAGGACAGCATTTGAAACTGAAATAAACTGGTGAAGAAAACTTTAAAATGCTCCCAAAGGGACACAAAAGATGAACTAAATAATGGAAAGACATGGTCTGATCTTGGCTGGGAAGATTCAGTCTCACAAAGGTGTCAATTCTTCCTAAGGTAATCTATAAATTTGCCAAGATTCCAACACAACTACATTAGGATTAAAAAAAAAAATGGCCAGGCACAGTGGCTCACACCTGTAATCCCAGTCCTTTGGGAGGCTGAGGTGGGTGGATGACCTGAGGTCAGGTCTGCCCCCCACCCCCAAAATACAAGGCAATTCTCAAGTTCAAATAGAAGCATAAACAAGCAGCAAAAAGCAGCACAATTCTAAAAAAGAAGAGCAAGAAGTGAACATCAACCCTACCAGATAAAGCATATTATAAACGACAACAATTAATGCTGTGTGGCACTGCATGCATCAACAGGCAGCTCAACAGATTTTCCCAGAAAGAGATTCAACTTTATAGCAATTTCGGCTGGGCACAGTGGCTCACGCCTGAAATCCCAGCACTTTGGGAGACCAAGGCAGGTGAGTCACTTGAGGTCAGAAGTTCCAGATCGACCTGGCCAACATGATGAAACCCCATTTCTACCAAAAATACAAAAATTAGCTGGGTGTGTTGGCAGGTGCCTGTAATCCCAGCTACTTGGGAGGCTGAGGCAGGAGAATTGAGCCCAGGAGGTGGAGGTTGCAGTGAGCTGAGATCACACCACTGCACTTCAGCCTGGGTGACACAGCAGTACTCTCTCTCAAAAATAACAACAACAAACAACATTTATAGGAATTAAGAATATGATAACGACATTTCAAATCTGTGGCAAAATAGGCAAATTACTTACAAAATGGGCACCCATTTGGGAAAAAACTTCACTTGAATCCCTACCTCATGCCTTATATCAGGATAAGTTACAGACTGAATAATATTTAAATGTTTAAAAGTATAACTAAAAAGTATTAGTAACAAATTTTTGGAAATTTTAGAAATATATTTTAAGAGTAGGACACTGTTGAGTATGACAACAAACCCTGAAGGCATGAAAGAGAAGATCCATAAACTTGACAACAAACACCCAAATTTGTATATGGCCCAAACTACTAAATAACAACAAAAAACAAAACAAAACCCCACAAATAACATATAACATAAGTACATGACAAAGTGGCAAACATTTTTGGTACTTTGATAATAGACACAGAATAATTTCCTTATATGCACAGAGTTTCTGTTCTAGGCCTAGAGAACAGCATACATATCTGCTGTGTGACATGCAGTGGATTGCTTAGAAAATGGAAGATAATTCTTCTATGTTGGAAGGTTAGACCTGAAAATGAGGGCTCAGGGAAAAGAGTTGGGAAGGAAAGGAATTTTTTTGGTAGCAGGGAGAAACGGATGGGGGTTTCTGCAGCAAGGCTGATTTATTTTGGCTAGCTCTGTATAGAAGGTGAGGGGTGGTGGGGGAGGAAGATGACAGAATAAATTATTTTGGGAAAAAAGGTCTGGACGGGAATTTTTCTCTTTCTTCTTTCTCCTCACAGGGTCTCATTCTGTCACCCAGGTTGGAGTGCAGTGGTGCCATCACAGGTCACTGCAGCCTTGACCTCCTGAGCTCAAACAATCCTCCCACTTTAGCCTCTTGAGTAGCTACGACTATAGGTTCGTACTACCATGCCAACCTAATTTTTTATTTTTTGTAGAGATGGGGCCTCGCTGTGTTGCCCAGGCTGGTCTCAAACTCCTGGGTTCAAGCAATCCTCCTGCCTTGGTCTCCCAAAGTGCTGGGATTACCCAAATGAGCCACTGTGCCCAACCTTGCTTTTTTTCTTTTTACCTCTTTTATAAGAAATGGTATCTCTGTTTTTTTTCTTTTTTGGCCCAAATTCCATTCTCTTCTTTCCCTATATCCTCTTACTTTGTCTGCCCATCCATGTTTATCTTCCTTCTTTCTTTCTTTTCCTTTACCTTAAATTATGATAATATAGCATCTAGCATACCTAAAAATTAGTCTTATGCATATTGAATCAGATTCTATTTTTCTGGTTTCAATCCCAAAAACATGTAAGTTAACTTTTTATATTTTACTCTTTTGAGAAAACATAAGCTTAACATTTTTTGGTTGAATATAATCAATGATTACTTTCCTTTAAGAGTAATATAATTTATTAATAAAAGAGTTCTCACTACTGCTGTAAAGAATTATAAAAATAGTGCTAGAAATATGGTATCAAAAGAATATTTCTTTTAAAGCTTCTTAGAGATTTCTCTCTTAAATGTCTGCTTATTGTATTTATATTATCTGAGTTAATTCAAGAAGAGAAAGAACAAAAATTAATTTATTAAGGGCTTTTAAAAAACCTCAAGTTTGTGGAATTACAGTTGTGCAATCAAACACTGTTGAGAAAGACTAGATAGAATGCCTCTACACAGGTGATTTTTTGAATAGGCTGCCTTCCTATTAAATGTGTATCAGCTGCTATTCTCTATAAAGTAACTTTCTAAGTATCAATGAACCTTATTTAATTTGTAACCTCAAAGCCAATATGTAATTGCCCACAACTTAATCAAGCCAAAGAGTGTCAGAAAGCAAGCATTCAGAGGTATAACCAACAGTTTACATGTTAATTTTGTAAAACACATACAACTAACCCTAAGGTTGTAAGGGGTACAAAAATCAAATATTACATAATTATCTACTATAGCAATACTTTACTAAAGAATACAGACTACCTAAGAGTCAGCTAAATTTCAATATTAAAATTGTTTTCCTTAAATAGTAGAATTTTATATATACTGTCACAAACTAGCTGTCAAAGGACTAGGCAAGACTCCTCTAGTCATTAGCTACACAGATTCATGTGTAAATAAGCACAGAGTCATGTGTTTGAATTCCTAGGGCCTTTCATAAATAAACTCCTACACGCTTACATCTCCTGAAATTATAAGGTGCACTCTGAGGGAATTCAAACATTGAGACATGTGACCGCAAAATGAAGTGAAGCAGTTCTCGCCACAGAAACTGAACTGTGAATAAGGTCCTGTGATACGTGCATGTGGGCAAAACTTGGAGCAGGTTACTAAATAATGAAATGCTGTTAAAATTTTTTAAGTTACTAAACAAATAATTTCTTTTCTTTACAGCAGATATCCTTCATTTCAAACAGAATTCCATTATGCAAGATACTCTGGTACACCAAAAAGCCAGGTAGAGAAACTTCCATTGAATAAATACTTGAAAACTTTAAAAAGGATTATTATATGAAAATCAGAGAATACATAAGAAAAAAGTTAATCAAGTAAGTGAAGATACAACTGAGAGGAAAACAAGTTCTTTGATCACCAAACTAAGGGCTATCTATACTCTCTGATTTGAAGAAAAAAGTTATTTCCTGGCTCACGCCTGTAATCCCAGAACTTTGGGAAGCCAAGGTGGGTGGACAGCTTGAGGCCAGGAGTTCAAGATCAGCCTGGCCAACATAGTGAAACTCCATCTCTACTAAAACTATAAAAATTAGCCAGGCATGGTGGCACATGCCTGCAATCCCAGCTACTTGGGAGGTTGAGGCACAATAATTGCTTGAACCCAGGATGCAGAGGTTGCAGTGAGCTGAGATTGCACCACGGCATTCCAGCATGGGCTACAGAGGAAGACTCTGGCTTCCTCTGGAAAAAAAAGTCTTTCCTTCTGTTAAAGATTTTCCTGCAAAGCAAAATCTTACTAGTGCATTTAAAAATTTCCCAGAAAGCTTTGTTGCAAATTCACTACCTGTTCTAGAGCTTTCTCTCTCAAGGTACATGGTCATGTGAGGTAGAGCCTAGCCCTTGGGGAAGGCCCTCAGCTTTTCTTATGGAGACCTAAGCAGGCCCTCAGTCAAAGAGACAAAACTGTTAAGCAAGGCACCAAAAAAGATCCACCAGAGTAATTTGGTGTCATATGCTGTGTATGTTCAGTGACCGCTGTTGATATGGTTTCGCTGTGTCCCCACTCAAATCTCATCTTGAATTGTAGCTCCCATAATCGCCTCATGCTGTGGGGGGGACTCAGTGGGTAGGAGGTAATTGAATCATGGGGGCAAGTTTTTCCCATGCTGTTCTCATGACAACGAGATCTGATAGTTTTATAAAGGGCAGTTCCCCGCTATATACTTTCTTGCCTGCCACCATGTATGCTGTGCCTTTGCTCCTCTTTCACCTTCCACCATGATTGTGAGGCCTCCCAGCCACGTGCAACTAAGAGTCCATTAAACCTCTTTTTCCTTATAAATTATCCAGTCTCAGGTATTTCTTCATAGCAGTATGAAAATGGACTAATACAGCTATTGAATAAATGATACTTCTTTTTGATGATAATGTGCTTTTAAAGGGAACCTCAAAGAGCAGGTGATTTTTTTTCCCCTTTTCAAATCATAAACTTATCAGCAGGAAGAACCCTCCAGGTCCTCTGGTGCCATCCTATCACTCTGCAAACAAGATCCTGAGGTTCAGAAAAGTTCAATGACTCACACAGGCCTGGTTAGATGGAATGTGCAACTAGAATTCCAGTCACCAAACCCTATCCAATTCTATTCGAAATACATACTTTCCACCTACTATTTCATTACCCAGATGCAGGTAGCTCTACACAAATCTTGACTTGAACTTTTCTCTCCTCCTGTCATCCATGAAAATTGTTAAATACTACTTGCCCCACATACATAAAGCTCTTTATTAGATCACTTAAATTTCCTTGCCCCCTAATTCCCCTCCTTTCCTATGAGCCCTCCCACCATAATAAGATTATCAATGGAACTTAAATTTCATAAAACAGTTCCTAATTAGTGGAGTCTCTTCAAAATGTCCATATATTTAACTTCAAAATACTAAATTGTATTCTTGCTTTAATGGAAAACATGACGTTTCAGAAAACTTTGAAAAACTAGATTTATATTCTGTTCTCTATTTCTTAACCTTTAAGAAGGCCATCAATAATTATGGCCATTTATTCTACAGAAATAGCCTTAGAGGAAAGAAACTATTAATGAATGCTTATGTGAAATAAATGTCCAAGTAAATAACTTTTATTGCACACATAACTTCATTCAATAAAGTTATTGTTCTTAAGAGTACAGTAAAATAAGAAATTAATTTTTTTTAGTTTAACCAAATATTTATAAAATCTCACCTCTAATTCCTCAGCCTGTTCTGCATTATCGTCTTCTGAGCCATTGGTTTTAGGTAAATAAGTCATTTTTAGTCTCAGATAGCCTTTAACTCTTGATTTGTGACTGTAGAAAAGAAAATAAATATTCATAAAAATTTAACACCAGGGAGAAAAGTATTCAATTAATAAGAGTTTAATGAACCCTCGGTAGCTAGCAGGGAGTCTACAAGGGAAGGCTCAAAGACAAGTTCCAGGGCAGAAGATATCCAGGGAAAGGAAAAGAAGGTGGAGAAAAGGAAAACATATAAATAAATAAATGTTAGGCTACCAAGAAGATGTTAAGGAAGTTTAAGGAAACGAACAGAGACAATGTCAAAGAGAAGCTGGCCTTTGAGTTGGGATTAGAAGACTGGGGAGGATTCTTACCTGTGACAGCAGAGGAAAAGGCATATGAGTGGAGAAGACGGCAAGATCCAGGACACAGATGGGAAATTTGGCAATTAAGGATGACAGTAGTTGAGTTTGGCTGGATTCAAGGATTTATAAAGGAGACTACAGAAGGCAGGGATGGTCCAGAGGTCATGCAAAATCAGAGAACTTCAGACTTTATTTTGCTTATTTTGGTAAACCACTGAGCATTTTGAGATGTGCTTTAGGGTTATTAAATTGGCCATACTGTATTGGATGACAGAAGAGTAGAAGGTAAGGCCTGATAATTGTCTGAAACCTGCTACATCTCTTTGGCAGCTGTTTGAATCTGCCACACATCAATTTACCTAATCTATTCTTATATTGTATCACCTCTTTGAATAATTACTTGTCTAAGCTAAAGGCTGCTGCCTGCTGTAGTAATACTTTAAATCTTTTGAAAACCTGTCTTTCACAAGCTGCTGCTCCTTCCTATTTTTTTTTTAAATTTTTTATTGCATTTTAGGTTTTGGGGTACATGTGCAGAACATGCAAGACAGTTGCGTAGGTACACACTTGGCAGTGTGTTTTGCTTCCTTTCTCCCCTTCACCCACATTTGGCATTTCTCCCCAGGCTATCCCTCCCCAGCTCCCTCTCCTGCTGACCCTCCCCTTTTCCCCCCAATAGACCCCAATGTTTAGTACTCCCCTCCCTGTGTCCATGTGTTCTCATTTTTCATCACCCGCCTATGAGTGAGAATATGTGGTGTTTCATTTTCTGTTCTTGTGTCAGTTTGCTGAGAATGATGTTCTCCAGATTCATCCATGTCCCTACAAATGACACAAACTCATCATTTCTGATTGCTGCATAATATTCCATGGTGTATATGTGCCACATTTTCCCAATCCAGTCTATCATCAATGGGCATTTGGGTTGGTTCCAGGTCTTTGCTATTGTAAACAGTGCTGCAATGAACATTCGTGTGCATGTGTCCTTATAGTAGAACGATTTACAGTCCTTTGGATATATACCCAGTAATGGGATTGCTGGATCAAATGGAATTTCTATTTCTAAGGCCTTGAGGAATCGCCACACTGTCTTCCACAATGGTTGAACTAATTTACACTCCCACCAACAGTGTAAAAGTGTTCCTTTTTCTCCACATCCTCTCCAGCATCTGCTGTCTCCAGATTTTTTAATGATCGCCATTCTAACTGGCGTGAGATGGTATCTCAATGTGGTTTTGATTTGCATCTCTCTGATGACCAGTGACGATGAGCATTTTTTCATATGATTGTTGGCCTCATATATGTCTTCTTTCGTAAAGTGTCTGTTCATATCCTTTGCCCATTTTTGAATGGACTTGTTTGTTTTTTTCCTGTAAATCTGTTTGAGTTCTTTGTAAATTCTGGATATCAGCCCTTTGTCAGATGGGTAAACTGCAAAAACTTTTTCCCATTCTGTTTGTTGCCGACCCACTCTAGTGACTGTTTCTTTTGCCGTGCAGAAGCTGTGGAGTTTCATTAGGTCCCATTTGTCTATTTTGGCTTTTGTTGCCAATGCTTTTGGTGTTTTGTTCATGAAGTCCTTGCCTACTCCTATGTCCTGGATGGTTTTGCCTACATTTCCTTCTAGGGTTTTTATGGTGCCAGGTCTTATGTTTAAGTCTTTAATCCATCTGGAGTTAATTTTAGTGTAAGGTGTCAAGAAGGGGTCCAGTTTCTGCTTTCTACACATGGCTAGCCAGTTTTCCCAACACCATTTGTTAAACAGGGAATCCTTTCCCCATTGCTTGTTTTTGTCAGGTTTATCAAAGATTGTATGGTTGTAGATATGTTATGTTGCCTCCGATGCCTCTGTTTTGTTCCATTGGTCTATATGTCTGTTTTGGTACCAGTACCATGCTGTTTTGATTACTGTAGCCTTGTAGTATAATTTGAAATCTGGTAGTGTGATGCCCCCCGCTGTGTTCTTTTTGCTTAGAATTGACTTGGCTATGCGGGCTCTCTTTTGGTTCCATATGAAGTTCATGGTGGTTGTTTCCGGTTCTGTGAAGAAAGTCAATGGTAGCTTGATGGGGATAGCGTTGATTCTGTAAATTACTTTGGGCAGTATAGCCATTTTCACGATATTAATTCTTCCTAACCATGAACATGGAATGTTTCTCCATCTGTTTGTGTCCTCTCTTATTTCGTTGAGCAGTGGTTTGTAGTTTTCCTTGAAGAGGTCCCTTATGTTCCTTGTGAGTTGTATTCCTAGGTATTTTATTCTTTTTGTAGCAATTGTGAATGGCAGTTCATTCTTGATTTGGCTTTCTTTAAGTCTGTTATTGGTGTAGAGGAATGCTTGTGATTTTTGCACATTGATTTTATACCCTGAGACTTTGCTGAAGTTGCTTATCAGTTTCAGGAGTTTTTGGGCTGAGGTGATGGGGTCTTCTAGGTATACTATCATGTCATCTGCAAATAGAGACAGTTTGGCTTCCACCTTTCCTATCTGAATACGCTTTATTTCTTTTTCTTGCCTGATTGCTCTGGCTAGAACTTCCAGTACTATATTGAATAGGAGTGGTGAAAGAGGACATCCTTGTTGAGTGCCGATTTCAAAGGAAATGCTTCCAGTTTTTGCCCATTCAGTATAATATTGGCTGTTGGTTTGTCATAAATAGCTTTTATTACTTTGAGATACGTTCCATCGATACCGAGTTTATTGAGGGTTTTTAGCATAAAGGGCTGTTGAATTTTGTTGAATGCCTTCTTTGCGTCAATTGAGATAATCATGTGGTTTTTGTTTTTGGTTCTGTTTATGTGGTGAATTACGTTTATAGACTTGCGTATGTTGAACCAGTCTTGCATCCCCGGGATGAATCCTACTTGATCATGATGGACAAGATTTTTGATTTGCTGTTGCAATCGGCTTGCCAATATTTTATTGAAGATTTTTGCATCTATGTTCATCATGGATATTGGCCTGAAGTTTTCTTTTCTTGTTGAGTCTCTGCCGGGTTTTGGTATCAGGATGATATTGGTCTCATAAAATGATTTGGGAAGGATTCCCTCTTTTTGGATTATTTGGAATAGTTTCAGAAGGAATGGTACCAGCTCCTCTTTGTGTGTCTGGTAGAATTTGGCTGTGAACCCATCTGGACCTGGGCTTTTTTTGTGTGGTAGGCTCTTAATTGCTGCCTCGACTTCTGACCTTGTTATTGGTCTATTCATAGTTTCAGCTTCCTCCTGGTTTAGGCTTGGGAGGACACAGGTGTCCAGGACTTTATCCATTTCTTCCAGGTTTACTAGTTTATGTGCATAATGTAATATTCTCTGATGATGGTTTGAATTTCTGTGGAATCTGTGGTGATTTCCCCTTTATCATGTTTTATTGCATCTATTTGGTTGTTCTCTCTTTTCTTTTTAATCAGTCTGGCTAGTGGTCTGTCTATTTTGTTGATCTTTTCAAAAAACCAGCTCTTGGATTTATTATTTTTTGAAGGGTTTTTCGTGTCTCTATCTCCTTCAGTTCAGCTCTGATCTTAGTTATTTCTTGTCTTCTGCTGGGTTTTGAGTTTTCTTGATCTTGCTCCTCTAGCTCTTTCAATTTTGACGATAGGGTGTCAATTTTGGATCTCTCCATTCTCCTCATATGGGCACGTATTGCTATATATTTTCCTCTAGAGACTGCTTTAAATGTGTCCCAGAGATTCTGGCATGTTGTGTCTTCGTTCTCATTGGTTTCAAAGAACTTCTTTATTTCTGCCTTCATTTCATTGTTTATCCAGGCAACATTCAAGAGCCAGTTGTCCAGTTTCCATGAAGCTGTGCAGTTCTGGGTTGGTTTCTGAATTCTGAGTTCCCTATTTTATTTTATTTTATTTTTTTTGAGATAGCATCTCCCTCTGTTGCCCAGGCTGGAGAGCCATGGCTCAGTCATGGTTCACTGCAGTTTTGACCTTCCAGTCTCAGGTGATCTTCCCATCTCAGCCTCCCAAATAACTGAGACTACAGGCATGTGCCACCATGCCCAGCTAATTTTTGTATTTTTTTTGCAGAGATGGGGTTTTACCTTGTTTCTCAGTCTGGTCAGGAATTCCTGGGCTCAAGCAATCCACCCACTTCAGCCTCCCAAAGTGCTACAATTACAGTGCTTTCATAAGCTTTTAATTCAAGGCTTAATTCTATCTATTGCCCTCACCAATTCTAGCATCCAATGATTTACTTAAGAAATCCTTGCTTGTCTCAGCTTTCTATATAGATTTTTTGGGGATGATTTTTACAGTTATCAGATATGTAGCAATTACCCTATGTCTTTCTAGACAAGAGTCCTAATCCTTTTATTCTGTCTTCAAGAGATTGCCTATCCCTACTCCAAAGCCTCTCCTTATGTTTTTAGCTCTTCTCTGTATAGTTCTCATAGATCTGGCAAATTTAGTGTATCCTTTCCTGAGTAGTCAGTGAAATCCCCAAGGCTTACTTCCAAGGCCACTAATGTGGCCATATTGAAGGAGATGTGAACACTCTGACTTGTTGTTATAAAAGATGGATACAGAGAATGTGCTCAGAATATGTTTTTTTGAAAAGTTTCTCTACAATTGTATGTTTCATGTCTTCTCAATTAGAAAATAAGCCTCAAGGTTTTGACTTAATGGGGCTCAAACAAATTTAGGAATGTAGCACATTTTCTGTCTGAATAAAGTTCTTTCTGCACTTGCAGTAATATTCGGTGCAGACAGAAGCAGCAAACTGTATTTTTTAAAGACAAAGACACAGAGAGCATTTGACAAACTGAAAAGCAGGCTACTAGGACAATCAAATAAGAAAAAACAACTTAGTTATTCTCGGTATACAGATGTCACAATCAGTCTAAAATTAAAGGATGCAAGGACACTGACATTCCTGACATGTACAAAAATTAAATGTGACTTTCTTAATAGAAAGTAATTTTGTTTTAATATTTATATTATAAACAGTAATTAAAAAAACATTTTTAAGAGAAAAATTTTACTAAGTTCCAATAGTACATTTTCAAATGCATTTTATAGTTTAAGAAACAAGACAAATACTGTCGCTTTCACAGATGTCCTTTCTCTGCTTTAGTTTGACCTTTTAGACAGTAAATCCACACTAGATTTTACTTCACAATGTGGTATAGAAGATCAAAAGGAGTTTTAGTTACAGCTTAAATTTAAATTTTTTGATAAACATCAAGTAATTTCATTTAGGAAAATGGAATTATAAGCATGCTATTTGAGTTTTAAATTCCAGTCTTATGTTATTTTCTCTAAATATTTGAGTTCTGAAATACTTTTTAAAGTAGGCAAAATATAGTTAGGTTTTTCTGAAATTGGCTTTCTGCACGTTGAGTTGGATAACGGTTTTAAATGAATTCATGTTTGTGATTTTTTAAAGCATAGTATTATGACAATATGACATAAATTTTAAGATATAAAATAAATATAAAATAATGACACATTCTAGCTTTCTAGTCTGATAAGTATTAAGAGGGCAAATCTTTCCCAAAGAAGTGTGATCACTTTCTGTATTTTCAGAATGTCTTGCAATGTGCATATAGCACTTGTTTTTTTTGTTTTTTTTTTTTGAGAGGAAGTCTTGCTCTATCGCCAGGCTGGAGTGTAGTGGCGCAATCTCGGCTCACTGCAACCTCAGCCTCCTGGATTCAAGCAATTCTTCTGCCTCAGCCTTCCGATAGCCAGGACCACAGGAACACGCCACCATGCCCGGCTATTTTTTGTATTTTTAGTAGAGACGGGGTTTCACCATGTTGGCCAGATGGTCTCAATCTCTTGACCTCGTGATCCACCTGCCTCGGCCTCCCAAAGTGCTGGGATTACAGGCATGAGCCACCGCGCCCGGCCGTACATAGTACTTCTTAATCAGAAACAGCAATGAAGCTTTAAAAAAAAATAATATTTAGAAGTAGCTTATTTATAGAAGTTTAAACCCTGAATTTCGAATGAGGCTACTGTAAGGTGTAATGAAGAGACAAAAAACTTAATATGCTATTATTTTATATTTACTGACCTTCTTGGGTGAAGAACAAAATCCTTAAATGTATATGGTCTCTCCATTCTTGGATTTTCTGTCTAGAATAAAATAGTGGGTTTTCAAAATATATCTATAACACCAAAAACATGTACTTTTCAAGAGTCACCTAAGGCATAATTGAAGTTAGAAGTGAGAGAAAAAAAGTAGCTTTAGTTTATCCAATGCTAACTTGACAGTACTTTCACTTTTCTGCCCAAGAGGAAATGCAGCTGCCATCATAACTCAAATGAAAATTAGCCGAGCAGGTGGGTTGTGGAGCCAAAGGAGGGCAGAAGAGAACAAGCAGAAAAACAATATAGAGTGGCTAGTCCACTGACATCTCAAAAGAATATGGAATATGCACATGTCTGCAGGCTTCGTTAGAGCACGGAGATAACTGCAGGAGATCAAAAAAGTCAATAGCCTGGAAAGTAAGAATGGATTAAATATGTCACTAAAAGCTTATGGTCTTGCACCCTGTTAAAAAAAAAAAGGCTTATGCACTGGAAAGACTATAGAGAGCTAGTAAATATAACTCAAAAGACTGAAAAATAAGTGATTTTTCTTTTTCTTTAAAGTTCAGCAGCTGTTAGTTTTTATTATCCTCTGCTGTTTTGCATTGTTAATTACCCAGTCTGCCTTGAAACTCTTTTCTTAAATTCTCATGACATTATTTTACTTGGTTCTTTTCCTGTTTCCCCTTGTCTGCCTTCTCTTTCTTTTCCGATCCACTCATGTTGACTGAGGGTCAATGGATGGCCCTCCGTTCTTAATGTCTTTTATAAGGAAAACCCTTTATTCTCAGAGATTTTGCTGTTAACCTGCACTGTGATAACTCTCAATCCTTCTAGTTCCTTTTCCCTATATAACTGATTTTTATCTCTCTGTCAGCAGTCTACTTTAAACTTGGTTTCCTATCAAAACTCAGTATGTCCAAAAGTACTTTTTTTAACATTTCAAAACAAAACAGACTTTCTTCCTCACTTTTCCACATGAGATGCCATCCTTATCTTCCCAGTTCAACCTGTATTATCTTTACTTTTTGCTTATTTTCTTAAGCCTCCATGTCAGGCATGTGATTCAATAATGTTCTATTTTGCAATGTTTCCTGAATCTGTTCTCCTCCTTGCTATATGCTTAGCTCTGATTCTTAGTGTTTTACATTTCTATTGTTGTAAACTATCTTAATTTTCTTCTGTGAGCTTAGGCACTCCTCACTCTAGTTATTCAGCAGAATATTTTCAAACTAATCTTTTTTATACAATGCTTTCCATGAGGTCAACAAATATCAGAAATTATTTATTTCTCACTGAGGTTCATGTATGAAAATCTTAAAAAGAAAATGGTTTTGAAATTAATTTTTAGAAAACAGTATGCCTAAAATATAAAAGTAGTATACATTTGATAAGTCAGTTATATATACACTAACTATATTGTATATATGTAAGTATTTATTAAATTTAACAAAATAAACACAAAAGGAAACTCATGGACACCTATACCAACCGGTAATGGATAAAGTGGAACATCCACTTGACCTAGGAAATCATCTCTTGTCTATAAGAGAAAGAAGAAAAAATATAATTAGTAATAAGCTCAATTTCTTTAGAAGATTTTGATGAGATAGTGCCACCATTCACAGAAAATGATTTTTTTTTTTTTAAATTCAATCCTATGCAGCATTACTGGAAAATAAAATGTGGTACAACTTCTGGTAATAGCAGAGTACCACATCTTAGATTAATTCTTCTCCAGATAACAATTATATTCTGTGACAAAATACCAAAACAGCTATTTGAAAGTACAACAGAATGACCCAAAACAAGCAGAAACTGGAGCGAAGTCAATCCTTCAAAGAAGAAACTACACTAGGTAGGATTCAGTATTTATATGGCTTTTCCTCTAGCAGTATTCCACAGTCCATATAATGCAGACAGCCTAGAACTTAAGCTGAAATCCGCACTATTACGGGCTTGAGGAGTCAGAAGGCCTAGTTTGGGGCTGACAACATATCTAGAAAAAGAGGAGAAAAATCCCAGAAAAAAAGAAGCCACCAGAATTTCTCCAAATCTAAATATAAACTCTTACCCAAATCCGTAGTTTAACCCTGAACCAAACAAGTGAAAGGCAACAGCTAGAAGACTGAGAGGGCTGAGCACTGATTTCTGCTGATGTTCACCAAAAGGGAAGCAGAATTTGGAGTTCAATTATGTTAACCAGCTGGAACAAAAATTAATACTCTTGACTGGGGGAGGCCGAGGCAGGCAGATCACCTGCGATCAGGTGTTTGAGACCAGCCTGGTCAACATGGTAAAATCCCATCTCTACCAAAAATACAAAAATTAGCTGGGCATGGTGGCATGTGCCTGTAATCCCAACTACTTGGGAGGCTGAGGCAGGAGAATCACTTGAATCCAGGAGATGGAGGATGCAGTGAGCTGAGACTGTGACACTGCACTCCAGCCTGGGTGACAGAGTGAGATTCCATCTCAAAAAAAAAAAAACAAAAAACACTCCTCAGGGAAATATAATAAAATTCATTGTTTCTATTAGTTACTATATTCATTGTCCAGCCTACAATAAAAAAATTACTAGACATGCAAAGAAATAAAAAAATGACCCAGTATCAAGAGAAAAAGTATTTAATAGAAACCAACCACAAGATGACCCAGATTGTGGAATAAGAAGACAGGGAAAATAAAGCAGCTATTATAAAGATATTCAAAGGACTTAAAAGAAAAGGCCACAATGAATGAAAAGATGGGTAATCTCTGTGGTGAAATGGAAACTAAAAATGAATCAAATGTATATTTTATTTTATTTCATTGTATTTGTGAGACAGTTGCACAGGCGGGAGTGTAGTAGTGCAATCACAGCTCATTGCAACTTCCACCTCCTGGGTTCAAGTGATTCTCCCATCTCAGCCTCCCAAGTAGCTGGGATTACAGGCGTGCACCACCATGCCTGGCTGTTTTTTTGTGGGTTTTTTTTTTTTTTGTATTTTTAGTAGAGATGGGGTTTCACCATTTTGACCAGTCTGGTCTTGAACTCCTGACCTCAAGTGTTCTGCCCACCTTGGCCTACCAAACTACCTCCCAGAGGAGATTGCCACCTGGTGGCTAACTCCTGATATGATGCACTGAGAAATGCTTGTGCTTTTCTCAGTGCATCACATCAGGTGTCAGACACCACATCTGGCCAAATGTACATTCTAGAAATGAAACTTCTAAAATGAAATATATGAAATAAAAAAATTCAGTGGATGGGTTTAAAAGACGATTGAAGATGATTGGAGAAAAGTAACATGAACTTGAAGATACAGAAACAGAATTTATTTATCTGAAAAATAAAGAGAACTTGAGGAAGAATTTCAAGCAGTCTGACATATGTATAACTAGCGTTCCATAAAGGGGGATGGGTAATAGGGCAGAAAAATATCTGGGGAAAAAGCCAAAATATTCACACATTCACAAAAACACAAGCAGAGACAGTCAATAAAGTCAGTGAACGGAAGCAGGATAAATGTAAAGAAAACATGGGTAGGCATATCATTATTAAATGCTGAAAACAAAAGATAAACAGAAAATCTTGAAAGCAGCCTAATAAAAACAATACATTACACACAGGAGAATAAAAATACAAATAACCGTTGTCTTCCCATCAAAAACAATGGAAACCAGAAGAAAACGGAGTATCTATAAGTGCTGAAAGAAAAAAAGTACCAAGAATTCTATATCTAGGAAAAATTATCCATCAAAAAGAAACGAAAAATAAAAATACTCTTGGATAAAGTTGAGATAATTTGTCATCAGCAGACGAATTGTTGGCACTACAGAATATGCTATAGGAAGTTCTTCAGGCTGAGGATAAGTGGCACCAGATAGAAATTCAGATCTAAAGATACGAGTCATAAAGAGCGAAATGGTAAATATGTGGGTAAAGTTTTTTTTAACTACCTTCTCAATCTCTTAAAGAACAAATTGTTATATACAGAAAAAGTTAAACTGCTACACTATGGGTTTAAAAAATGCAGATGTAATAATGCAAATGACAACATTGTGCAAAAGATAGGTGGAATAATCACATCTACGTTGTTGCAAGACTTACATTTTATATAAAGTGGTATGATGAATAGAAGTTAATCATTAATTGACTGAAGAACTAAGAAGCCCTGAGAAGAGTTAAAATGGAATACTGCAAATATTTGACTAATCCAAAATAAGGCAGGAAAAGAGAAACAAAGAAACAGATAAGATGAAAAGAAATAAATTGCACATTCTGAGATAAATCCAGCCATATAAATTATGACAAACTAAATGGTCCAATTAAAGACAGAGATTGTCAGCTGAATAAAAATGCAAAACTTAACTATATGTTGTCTCTAAAAGACACCTATCATTATGATTTAAAAATATTTTATTAAACATTTTTCATCCTTTTCACTTTTTTCCTTTTTTTTTTTTAAAGAGACAGAGTTTTGCCATCTTACCCAGGATAGTCTCAAACTCCTGGGCTCAAGCAGTTCTCCTGCCTTGGTGTCTCAAAGTGCTAGGATTACAGGTGTGAGCCTGTGCCCGGTCAACTTCTCATTTTAAAATAATTTCAGATTTAAAAATATTTGTAAAATAGTATGAAGAATCCTCATGTACTTTCCATCCAGATCCCCTAAAAGTTAACATCTGAAATAGCCATACTTTAATGATCAAACTCAGAAGTACTATTAAGTACTCTACAGACTTGATTCAAAATTCACCAAACGTCTGACTAATTTTAGTCTAGGTCCAATTCAGATTCGCATATTGCATTTAGTAGTCCTGTCTCTTTAGTTTCTTTTAATCTGGAAAGTACCTTAGTCTTTCTTTGTCCTTCATAATCCTGACATTTTTGATGAGTAATAAGTAGTTATAAAACATCCTTGTAATATTTCTTCATGGTTGAATTTAGATTATGCATTCTTTACAAGAATACCATAAAGGTGATGCCTGTGCCCTTCTCAGTGCATCATATCAGGAGGCATATGATACTGATTTATTGCATTACTAATGATAATAACTTCAATCATTTGGTTAAGGTGCTGTCTTCCAGGTTTCTCAATATTTTCCCCTTTGTAATTAACAGTAAGTATCTTGTGGGAAAATCCTTTGAGGTTATGTAACTAGCCCATTTCTCATCATACTTTTGCTCACAAACTTTAGCATCCACTGAAGATTCTTACCTGCAACAATTATTAATGTGGTGCTTGCCAAATGCTGACTTTCTATTTCTGCCATTTCCATTCATATTAATTAATTATAACTCTGCTGAAATAATTTCCCCTTCCTCCCATTTATGCATTCTGCCACTTTTTTAATCATCACAAACTTACCGATATTTATATTATAAAATAGAATCGATTACTGTCACTTACTTATTTTTTATTATTATTATTTTTTTGAGACAGAGTTTCGCTCTTGTTACCCAGGCTGGAGTGCAATGGCACGATCTCGGCTCACCGCAACCCCCGCCTTCTGGGTTCACACGATTCTCCTGCCTCAGCCTCCTGAGTAGCTGAGATTACAGGCATGTGCCACTACAACCAGCCAAGCTTTTTGTATATTAGTAGAGAGGAGGTTTCACTATGTTGGCCAGGCTAGTCTTGACCTCCTGACCTCAGGTAATCCACCTGCCTGGGCCTTCCAAAGGCTAGGATTATAGGCGTGAGCCACCATGCTGGCCAGTAAAGTTTGATTATAAAAAGAAGATACAAAAGAGTACATGCTGTCCTATTTAATTTACATGAACTGTAAAAGAAACAAAAATGGAAGACTGGAAGAGTAGAGGACAGCAGAGTGAGAAGTGAGATAATAAGTGAAAGTCCTAATACCAAACAATAAGTATCTCCCCAACTTTTTTCTTTGTTTCACTTGGCTTCTAGAATACTGGCAGACAAATATATATTTCTCAGGAAAGAAAATTCCCCTCTGGAACAACTAAGCAATCCGAGAAGACAGATTTACAGATATTAAAACCTGGAAGTTTTTCAATAAAATGACTAATTCTCTCTGCTCACCCCAAAGTGAAGTCCACTAGTCAGTAGATGCTCATGAACAAAACCCTTCCAGTAAATACTGGAATCTTATACATTACGGACAGTTAAGGACTACTAAATACTTGGGGAAACTTATAACATGAAACACATAAAAGACACAGACCTAAATCAAAGAAGTGAGTCTGATGAATAAGAATCAGTGAAATTGCAGGAAAAATACTTCAGAAAAAACATAATATTCCCAGAGATAAGAGAAGGTGAACCATCTGTCAAACAAAATAGGAGGCTGCAAAAAAGAAGCAATTAGAGGACAAGAAATATCTTTTAGAAATCGAAAATATAACTCAAATAAAAACTTCAAGATAGAGTCAGAATACAGAGTTGAAAAAATTCTCAGAAGCAGAACTAAAAGACAAAATGATAAACTATAGGGGTCTACAAATAAGGAAATGACAGAAGAAAATTTAAAAGTCAACATTGAAATAATAAGCATTTCAGAAAGAAAAGAGGAAAGGGAGGAAATTATCAA